AATCTTGTTCGTGGTTCTTGTTCGTGATTATTGTTCGTGATGATTGTTCGTGATTCTTGTTCACAGTGACTGGTACAAGCACTTGCCGCACGCTCCACGAGGGATGGCGTGAGCGAACCTCATCTCCCATCTCCCACCTGCCATCTCTCTTCTTCACTTCAATCCCCCCCGCCTCCTCGATCTCATCTCTCGGCTCCCACCTATCTCCCGCCTCTTGTCTCCAACGATTCATCTCCCTTCCATTCTCTCACCTCCCTCACTCCCCACCACCTCCCACCCACAGGCCCTCCCTCCGCCCCTCCCGCCACGCTCCGATAGTCAAGGTGCATTTGCATAAATTTCAAATCTCAGTCGTAATGGGACAGACTCCCACAGCGGTCAAGGTATTAAGGTGCGATTCAGCACATCACTCTTCATCACTCACATCACTCTCCATCACTCACACTCTAATCACTCTACATCACTCACACTCACATCACTCACACCACTCTTCATCACTCACACTCACACCACTCACATCACTCTACATCACTCACACTCACACCACTCACATCACTCACACCACTCACATCACTCACACCACTCACACCACTCTTCATCACTCACACCACTCACATCGCTCACACCACTGACACCACTCTACATCACTCACACCACTCACATCACTCACGCCACTCACATCACTCACACCACTCCACATCACTCACACTCACACCACTCACATCACTCACACCACTCTTCATCACTCACACTCACACCACTCACATCACTCTACATCACTCACACTCACACCACTCACACTCCCATCACTCACACCACTCACTCACACCACTCACATCACTCACACCACTCACATCACTCACACCACTCACACTCACATCACTCACACCACTCTTCATCACTCACACTCACCACTCACATCACTCACACCACTCAACATCACTCACACTCACATCACTCACACTCACATCACTCACACAACTCACACTCACACCACTCACACCACTCACACTCCCATCACTCACACCACTCACTCACACCACTCGCATCACTCACACCACTCTCCATCACTCACACTCACTCACACTCACATCACTCACACCACTCACATCACTCACACTCTAATCACTCTACATCACTCACACCACTCTTCATCACTCACACTCACACCACTCACATCACTCTACATCACTCACACTCACACCACTCACATCACTCACACCACTCACATCACTCACACCACTCCACATCACTCACACTCACACCACTCACATCACTTACACCACTCTTCATCACTCACACCACTCACATCACTCTACATCACTCACACTCACACCACTCACATCACTCACACTCCCATCACTCACACCACTCACATCATTCACACCACTCACATCACTCACACCACTCACACTCACATCACTCACACCACTCTTCATCACTCACACTCACCACTCACATCACTCACACCACTCAACATCACTCACACTCACATCACTCACATCACTCACACAACTCACACCACTCACACTCCCATCACTCACACCACTCACACCACTCACACTCCCATCACTCACAGCACTCACTCACACCACTCGCATCACTCACACCACCACTCTCCATCACTCACACTCACATCACTCACACCACTCACATCACTCACACTCACACCACTCTCCATCACTCACACTAGTTGTAATTACTGGCTGTTACCTGATGATGCTAGTTGTAATTACTGGCGAAACATCGTACTAAGATGGTAAATGTTGTGGCTTGGCTCTCCAACATACCGGTTAGTGCTGTACTAGTGACGAATTATCACGTTCTGTCTACGTGACAACCCTTACTAGTTGGCTGTCGGCTGGTGACGGGTTTAACGACACAACATTTATATATTTACGCGATCCAACCCAAAAAACTTGTATTATGGATATTGGTCACAAAAGCTTAATACGTGTTAAACAGGAGTTGTATTGTGATATGTACCAGTTGAAAGGGTAAAAACCCATCACTATATTTTGCCACTGGTAAAGGAGATGTCTCATAGTGCAAATGCATACCCTGAGCTCTCAATACTCTGATAGTGCGCTGTCTTTGAGTTGTACGCCTTTTGGCGTCATCTGGTCCAACACCAATGGAGACTAGGCTCTAAGAAAAGCTGTATCGGGTGTGGACCAATCAACTTCAAGGAAAGTGCATATGATTATCATTATCAGAGTTGTTTATTTTTGTTTGCATTTTGACAGCTTGTGTTGTGGTTATTGCAAACATGATGCCTTATATAAAGGTGTCAGTTTTTGTACCAGTTGAAAGTGTAAACACCTATCACTATATTTTGCCAATGGTTAAGGATGTCTCATAGTGTGAGGAGTTGTATCGTCTGCGTGTTCATTGTTATTCACATTCTCCAGACGGGCACTCGTGGCTATTGTGAGTGGTGGCTCCTGTGGCCCAGCGTTACTGTGGCGACAGCAGCAGCAGCGAGGGTTGGTGGACCGCACACAGACGCTGCTGTGGAACTCCCTCCCCGTGGGTGGATGCCGAGGTGGTGCTGTACCCTGCGGCTCGCCAGCAGAAGGCGGTACAGCAAGGCGTGGACTGTTTATTCCGTCTGGACCGGGATAGAGCGTTGCCCCCTCGCGCGAGGCGTCGGTTTTCTCCGCGTGCTCCGGTTTCCTCCTATTTATATAATACAAACACTCATCATTTATTGGTTGAAAACATCTCACCAATAAAAAAAACAACGCAGGACGATGCAAACCGCGTAAGCTCCGTAGCGTGCACAGAGGGAGAGTCCACGACGTCGGAATTTCACATGCAACATCGATTCAAGGTGAGCACGACTCTCCCGCTCAGAGGTGTTTCGCCTTGCAGTTGAATCGACGCCGGGAGTGAAAGTTGTGCACTGCCAGGAAGAAAGCTGTGCGGCCCAAGGGCTGTGTAAGGAAAGCTTTCATGCCGTGCGCGGAGAGGTTGGAGACTTCATTGCTCATTTATCGTGTTGTCTTCGTGCCAAAACGCCGGCAGTCACGAGCGCGCGAGTACACAGCGCCGCCTGGCGTTTGGAGAGAGACGCGTTTGACGAAACCCAAACTGTATAAATTAAACTAAACCTTACGTACACGTTACTTTCAAGTCCTCGCTGAAAACGAACATTATCTGCGCCAAACATCCCAGTGTTAAGCAGCCTCCGACTGAGAACGAGTCTGTAAACCCAGTCGTGAGTATTCCTTGGCCTGCGGGTGAAAGGCGCTTTAGATGTATAAATAAAAAATATTATTATCAATTCCAAGCCACTGTCGTGTATGTATCTATGTTAAAGGGGGTGATGCATCACTCTGGATATTTACTATGTTTGTACCAGGTAAGGCCCACTGAGCCACACAGCTCTTTTTCAGAAGCGACCTGGCCACAGATAACAGCACAAAGAAGTGACTCATCATCATCGCGTGGAAATGTACAGCAGCCAAATCCTAAAACGCGTGATGTCGATTCTAAATGTGGAGGAATAAACCGCACGAAACTCGGAGAAAAGTCCACGCGACCGCGGGGAGAACACGCACACTCCAAATGGGCAGCCTTCGTCAGGGTCGGGATCAAACCCACGACCTCCCGTATACCCGGCGAGAGATTTGACATCTCGCCACCGCAACGCCCAATAAGAGCATTACCTAACGCAGGCGTGACACCCCCAATTGTGAGGGCTTCATTCACGCAGCGCTACGTTTACATTCGTGATGTGCGGCGTCTAAAGAGTGCGAAAACAAATCGCGAAACGAGACTTTGATGCTAAATGTCAGAAAAAATGTATTATTCTGTATTCATACTCTGGTTTTTTCGGTAAAGTCACGTAGGTTAAAAATAAATTGCTGTATTAAGTGACAGTAATTTTGCTGTGACGGTTCCACCCGAAGACGGAAGCTTGTGTTGCCTCCGAAACGTCGTGATTTAATTTAGTTATTTTTTCACCTACGTGACTTTACCGAAAAAACAAAGAGTATGGATCCTTGCAGTCACGAAAACTTCAAATCTCGAATTGATTCTGTATTTCGATTTAAAGCTTTCGTGACTGCAGGGATTCATCTTCTTGGTTCTTTCGGTAAAGTCATGTAGAATGGAAACAATAAAAATAATAAAATAATTCTCACGTTTCGGCTACAACGCAAGCAGCCACTTGAAGACGGCTGCTTGCGTTGTAGCCGAAACGTCGTGAGAATTATTTTATTATGTTTTATTTTATTATTTTTATTGTTTCCATTCTACGTGACTTTACCGAAAGAACTAATAAGAAGATTCTGTATTCTTAAAAGGTAAAGTTCCGTCACGTCCCGTTCTGCTTCCATGTTGACACGTGGCGTCGAGGGACGTCACGTGTCAGCCCACAAGACAGACACATAAACAACACCCATCACGTGACACGAATGATCCGAAGATGAGGACAAAAAAATTCCTGGCTTAAAATAAAACATGCGTCAATCCGAAACTCACCGTGAAGCTTACGTAACCATCGATTTAGCATGCCCCCTTTGTGAATGCAAACTTAGTGAAAATTACACTTGCAGGGACACCCTGGGACCGGTGGAGGGTGTCCATCGAGCACAGGGGGTCGGGCAACCTGCGGCTCTTTCAGGAGCTGCCTTCGTGACGTCGTTTATTAAGGACCACCCACAGTGCATTGCGGCTCATGAAATATTGATTTTTAACGAATTCTAAAAACCGGTCTCTCTGCTTGTGATTTTGGTTTGGCGACCCCACCTCATGGCAACAGCTTGCCAAGGCAAAGACACAAACTAAATCCGCCAGAGCTGACTCCAGATATTAGGGCGAGTGCCGTTAGTTAGCAGCACCTATGTCGGCCGGCCACGGCACACGAGGGGGTAGGTGGGTGCCCAGCGACCACAACCCCACCCGCCTTTGTCTCCCCGGTCTCTTCTCTGCAAGTCGCGACGACTACAATCGGACATTCATGTGACAAGCACACAAAGCACACACACACCAGCTCAGGGTGTAATACCACATTTATTAAGGCTAATGATGACTTCCTAGAGGCAGGAAAATTAACTTCACTATTTCCTCATCATCTTCCAAATCACGGGCAGACAGTCAAAAAAGATATAAATGATTTTAGACTTTTTTTTTGATGAAAAATTCATTCCGGCAAAATGAACAGGGTCCAAGTTGTACTGTACAATCGCGGGGCTCCGGTCCGATTGGAGAGAGCAAAAGCCCTCCCCTCTCTGTTCATTCGCGTTCGGGCAGTCGGTGACAAGAAAAACGCAGCCTCCGGCGTCGAGCAACGCTTTCGCTTGGAAACTCTGATAAAATCTGTTCTCGATCGATCGCCAATAATCATCAGTCTTCAGGCAGAAATCAGTCTTTAAAATGGCTTTTTACGTTTGGAGCAATCATCTCGTCTCAGTCTTATCATCATCATCGTTATAATCGTCACCGATGGGTGCTCTTGCCGTTGTTGGTTTGCTTGTTGTCGATGTCTTCGGGATGTTTAAATATTCGCGAGCGATGATGGAAAGTAGGGGGCTGGTGGTGGTGGTGGGGGGCCGGTGGCGGATTTCACGGGAGGAGTTTCATATTTTTTTCGCCGTTTGCAGGGCTGGCCACCAGTGCGTTGGGCCCCTTTGCACAATCCCTGTGCTTTTGCGAGTAGCACCCTGAGTTAAAACAATAAAAACGTATCCGCCGCATCGTCTCCTTCCCCAATCCTCCTCGTGTCCCGCCCACCACCGCCCCTCGACACAAAAAAAAATGATTCCAAGAGTGGACCTGTTGATAGTATTGGTCTCTCCATCCCCCCCACCCCCACACCCAGCACCACCAATCTTGTCTGAAAAAAAGAAGAAACGCAAGCAAAGCTCGGCAGATATTAAATACGCAGCTCACGATTGTGTTAAAGAATCTTCTGAAACGAGCCGAAGAGCTGGAGGGAAGAATTACACCGTCGTCATCATCATCATCACCATCGCCATCAATCATCACCGTGATTACCATCATTGTCGTCGTCGTCATCATCATCATCACAGCTACGTTTGAGTTAATATCATGGGCATTGTAAATGGGAGGTCAATTAAAAAGCAATTTTTTTCTTCTTGTTGAAAATGCAACTCTGCCAGGCGATACATTCACACTAGGACTACAGTATCGTACGATATAAATGACGATGCTGGAGAGAGAATTGAGGAAAGGAAACGATAGGAGGGGGCATTACAACAACGAAAGGATAAATCACAAAACAAGGATAAGCATTTCATTTTTTTTCTTCTTCTCATTATTCTTATTCTGCTGCTGCTGCTTCTTCTGCTGCTGCCGCCGCTTTGTTTTAAAAGGGACAACCAACATTCAGGAGAAGCTCGAGGTTCGGTGTCTTCGTGCTGTCGACGTCGGCAAGCTTGGGCGAGCGCCGGGCACACGCTCGGGTCCACCGTGCCCATCACCCCCCCCCATCACTAGCCACCCCCCCCAAGCCCGACACCTCCAACCCACCGCCATCATCATTTGTTACGGATTTGTCGATCCTGCCAAAACACGGACAACACAAGAGAGAGATGGGGAGGATGAGGAGGGTTGGGGGGGGGGGGTCAGGGAAGATGAGAAATCAGAGGAAATGAGAGATGAAAAGGGAGATGACAGCAAGGAGGGGTGGGATGGAGGGATTGTGGAGGGATTGTGGGGGGGGGGGGTACAGAGGGAGGGTGGGAGAGAAGAGAGCATTTTAAAAACACATTCAACTCTAGATATTACTCAAGTTATTTCACCTGGAAAATCTCTCACATTAGCACGCCTCGTTTGCAAGGGTGTCCAGGGTAATGAGGGGAGCAAGTGGTCCGGATAAAATATAACCACGGATAATAAAAAAATGTTTAAAAGTTTGTGAATTTGGCTTCAAACCGTCTTGTTTATGCGTACAGCATAAGGGCAGCGAGATGTTGACTACCTGGCCTCGTATACAGGAGGTAGTGGGTTCGATCCCAAACCCGACGCCTGCTGTATACGTGGAGTTAGCTTGTCTCTCTCCCCGTGGTCGTGTGGATTTTTCTTCGGTCCTCCGGTTTTCCCTCCACATTTAGAAACACGTGTTTAGAATATTTGGCTGCCATATATTTCCACGTGATCATAAGCCACTTTGTGAAGCTATCACGTGGCCAGGTCGCTTCTGAAAAAAGCTATATAGCTCCATAGGCCTTACCCGGTAAATAACAAATTATTGTAATTTTTTTATAAATAATCGGAGGATGCTTTGTGGTCTGGGTTCTCCCTCGATGGAACATCTCAGTCGAGATTAGGCCCTCGCTCGCATTCAAGTCAACAAACGATGACCTAACGTATTACAAACAGCGCCACCTAGTAGAACTTTCCGGCGAAACCGCTGCAAACCATCTGACCGGTACGTCACGTAGGTACCTATGTGACTTTACCGAAAGACCCACAGAGTATGGATTCCTGCAGTCACGAAAGCTTCAAATCAAGATTCATCCAACTCGTGTTGAACTTGGCTGAGGACTCGGTTCTAGCTGACACGGACTGTTTCGACTCATCCACCACCGCAGTGATGAGCCACCAGCAGGAGCCTCACACTTGGAGGTCATCACAGCACACTCACTCACCGATACAAGATGATATTAGTCTCGACTTTGCCGAGCCGCCTTCGACCTAACGAGCCAGGGCATGGCACCTCCTCACTGCCCACTGGTAGGGGAGTTTCGCAACATTTGTGCGGTGATCAGCCGCCAACCCCCTGGCCAAAGAAGGGCAACAACGCTCGTTGCGCTTATCGTGATAAGGGCATCGGATCGGCCTTCCCATCGCGCCTTTTTTCTGGCCAATTAAGTTGCGTATCGCTTCACGGAAAGGGGTGGGGGCCGACGACGACCATGACAATGACGACGATGACGACAATGACGCACCTTCTTCTGGCCCTCCTCCTCCTCCTGCCGGCGCTCGTAGTGTGCGAAGTCGTCGAAGATGGAGGTGGTGTGGCGGAAGGCGGCGATGACGCGCAGCACCTGGCGTGCCTTGTCGAGCGGCACCTCCTGCGTGTCGCGAGAGTTGGTCACCGGCTTGTTCTCGTTGTTCTCCAGGCGGATGTGGCGCAGCTGCGAGTTGGGCACGTCCTTCACGAAGATCCACTTCACCTGCGAGACCCCGCCACCCCCCACCCCCCCCGGGGGAAGGGAGGGGAGAGGGGGGATGATGGAGGGAAGGGATGGAGGGAGGGATGGATAGTAGGGAGGGGATGGAAGGGATGGTGGAGGAAGGGAGGGGGGAGAGGAGTTGAAGCGTCAAGGTTCTCGTAGCCTAGGTTGCTCACCGCTGTGCCACCGCTCCGCACCACACCATAGATTGTGCATTAACGATGCATCGATGAATCAATGTCGATTCTTCGGCTAAAAGACACGTGGCACCGAGAAAGCATCTCTATTCGAGGTTCGTACGCCAAAGGGGTTCACGTGATCCTTGCGGCCACAAGTGGGCGCCACACGCTCCGCAAGGCCAACAAACACACTGGAGTCGATTCTTTCTTTACATCGCGACCCAGAAACGCGACGATTCGCTACGTCGGGCGGGCGAGTCGCCGATTCCCCCGTTTGGCGAGTTGATGAACGGTGACGGCGCGTTTCAAAAAGCCACTCCCATCGCTGTGTCACTGCTCGTGGCGGTGTCTCTGGTGACTGAAGGGTGACGAGGGGAGGAAGGGGGGGGGGGTCACACCAACTAATTCCGTACAATTTTGGACCAATAACTAACACACGACGATTCTTAGAAACGTGAGCCTATGCGCGTGTCGCGAGATTTAAACTCTCAAAACTCGCAGGTTACCCCGAGGTGGCGCAGTGGTCAGAGCACTGCACCGAGGCTTCCCTCCCTTCACCAACCAGCGCGGTGAAGTATGGTCAAACAACCCCCGGGACCCAACACGGCATGGGGGAGTTCTCCGTCGAGCAATGCATTGACACGGGGGTGGTGTCACAATCCTCGTCATTTTATATTTGAGAAGTAAACTGCTATTGATAACCATTTTATTTACATACTCTCTGGGTCTTTCGGTAAAGTGACGTAGATAGAAAAATAAAATAAAAATATCACGACTTTCGATCGCAACACAAGCAATCGTCCTCAGGTGAAAAAATACAGCAGGCGGACTGCTGAGGCAGGAATATTCTATTTATTTATAATTTTTCTATCTACGTGACTTTACCGAAAGACCCAAAGAGTAGGAATTCCTGCAGTCACAAAAGCTTTAAGTCATTATTTTATTTAGATTTATTTACTTACAACAGCTGGGCGGAGGTGGCGCAGAACTGTAAACCAGCAACTGTGGACGCCATGGTTGGAGGCTCGCAAAAATGTCGTCAAGACTCCCTTCCCGTGGGCGTCGAAGGTGCCATACCCTGGCTCGCCAGAAGGCAGTACAGCAAGTGGATTAAGCTCCATCCGAATGCACCACCACGGGGATTCAGTGTTGCCCCCTCGCACAGGATGGTTTTCTCCGGGTACTCTGGTTACCCACCACGCCCACCACTACCTGTACCACTAGAACCACCATCCGTACCTCCCACCACAGCTTTCACCACTATCTTCACCAATACCTACACACCATCGCCACCACGATCACCCGTACCACAACCGCTCAAACCACCAACCACCCACCACCAAAGATCGCCTGGAAAGCCATAAGCAGACTGTTGGGACAAGTTGGAGGAATCTATGAAGGCTGGCATGTTACACGAGGGGGTGGGTGGCCAGCACCACGCCCGACCGCCTTTGTCTCGCTAATGACGATGCTTGCACATCACACCAGGTACTCGGTTGAGGCCGATTCGACCTAGAAAAATCTCAGAATCGTTTCAGAAAAATCGCAAATGTTGTTGGCCGCGAGCCGGCATTCAAAAATCCACCGCTCCCCGCTCACACCCACCACTAGGGCACCCACGGGGGCATACCTCGAACTTGCCCTTCCACTTGTCCTGCGACCACACGCCGGCGCACGTCTGGTAGTCCACGGGCGAGGTCATCTGCGCCACGCCGCAGAAGTGGCCGCTGCCGTTGACGCTGAAGAGGAGGTAGACGGGGCCCTTGCCCTGCATGGCGCGGTAGGCGCCGTCCAGCCGCCGGTTGCCGTGCTCGGTGCTGCACCAGATGGAGTACTTGATGGAGCGGTGGACGTCGTCCTCGGAGTAGCTCTTGATGATGAAGGCCCGTGCGCTGCGCGGGCTGCACTCGAAGTCGCGCGGGTTGTAGCTGTTGGCCACCTTCAGCTTCTCCAGCACCGGGTGGCTCTCTGGCGGCAGGGACGTCGCCGCGACCACCGACAGCGCCAGGCCCACCGGTGCCAGCTGCTGCTGCTGCTGCTGGTGGTGCAGCAGTGGTGGCGGAGGGGACGGATCTGACGCCGGCATTATGGGGCCGGACGGCATGGGCAGTGGCGGTTGTTGCGGAGGTGCCAGAGGCTGCATGGTGTGGTGGTGATGGTGCAACTGATGGTGCTGCTGTTGCTGCTGCTGGTGATGCTGGTGGTGCTGCGGCTGCTGTTGCTGCTGGTGAGGAAGCGAGTGGTGGTGAGGGAGGTGGGGTAGAGGTTGCTGCTGCTGCAGGTGCTGCTGCTGCTGAGCAACCGAGCTCATGGCGCCGACCGTCAGCATGTCGCCTCCGAACACGCCTCCGTTGCGACTGCGTGGTGCGGACCAGCGCCCGGGCTGCTGCTGCTGCTGCATAAGCTGCCCGTGCTGCATTGGTTGCTGCAACTGATTATGCATCTGTTGCATTGTGTGCTGCATCGACTGCTGCTGCTGCTGGTGATGATGCTGCTGCTGCTGCTGATGTTGTTGCTGCTGTTGCTGCTGGTGATGAAGATATAACTGCTGCTGCTGATGCTGCTGATGCTGCTGTTGTTGTTGCTGCTGCTGCTGCTGTTGTTGCTGCTGCTGTTGCTGGTGAAGCGAACTGCCGGGCTGGCTATTCGGCTGCTGATTGGCTTGCATCGACACCTGCACGGGCGCTAGCGACTGGATCTGGCTGCTCGGCTGCGGAATTGACATAACCGGCGCCGCAGAAGTAACAGCCACCGCCGGTGACGGGGATACCGACTGCTGCTGCTGCTGCTGCTGAGGGCCAGGCGCCTCGCCAGGCCCGCACACCGGTGGCGCTGCCTTGGCCACAACCCCCTTGTTGTCCCACGTGCCGATGTCCATGTTGTGCTTGATGGGGGGCGGAGGGGGCATGGCGGCGCCGGTGGCGGCACCCCCTGCAGAACCCCCCTTTCCCTTCAGCTGTTTGGGCTGCGGTTTGGCCGGCTTGCTCGCGATCGCCGCCCAAGACGTGGGTTTCTGCGCCTGCGCCATCGCTGCCGCCTGCTGTTGCTGTTGGTGCTGCTGGTGTTGCCGGTGCTGCTGGTGCAGCAGAGCCTGCGCCGCCGAGTTCGATACCGGCACGGGGATGGTCGGCACGGTCATGCCGCTCACGGAAAACATGGAGCCCACGACGGGCGCGCCGACCGTCTTGTTGGCGACGTCGCCGCCGCCACCGCCGTTACCGTCGCCGCCATCCAACTTGAGCCCGGCCACGCCCTGCTCCACGCTGCTCACGGGGCCCGGCGCCTTGTTGATGCCCTCGTTGGCGAAGGTGGCGTGGGCGTCCATCGCTGCCCCGCCCAGCGAACTCGGCGGGTACACGTAGCTGCCGCTGCTGCAGCTGCTGCTGCTGCAGCTGCTGTTGCCGCCCCCGTTGCCGCCGTAGACGGCGGCGCCGACGGCCGCCGCCGAGGCCTGCGCCGAACTCTGCCGCCCGGGCGGCCGCCCCGCGCCGCCCGTGGCCGCGGCCGCCTGCGCCGCCTGCGCGGCCGCGCCGGCCCCGGCCCAGGCCGCGAACTCGGGCCCCCCGGGGAAGAAGCCGAAGGGCCCCGGCGCGTGCTGTCCCAGGTAGGTGGCGTGCGCGCCGAGGCCGCCGGCGGCCCCCGCGGGTGCGGGCGCCCCGAGGCCGCCCTGCCCCAGGAAGCCCGGCTCGGGCTGCAGGAAGTGGTGGTGGGCCTCCCCGTTGGCGAGCGTCTGGCCGTAGTGGTGGGCGAGGTACGGGATGGGAGGGTCGCCCCCCGTGGACCACGCGGCCTCGGCGGCGCTCAGCGAGTACGACGGGAAGCCCATGGACGGGCCGTAGTAGCTGGGCATGTACGGGTCGGTCATGGCCGTGTAGCTGTTGTTCTGGGGTGCAACGGGAGGAGGGGCGAGCAAGGCAAAACCGAGGTCAGCTGACGTCAAAACATCCGGCGAGGGGTTCGCGGCGGTGGTAGCAGCTAGGCACAGCACTGCGGGTGGCGAGGGTTGGCGGATCGCCGCGCGAATGTTGTTAAGCCCCCTTCCTGTTGGGTGTCAAGGGGAGGTGCCGTACTTTGCCTCGCCAGGGCAACGTGGTGGAGAAAAGTGTGGACTAATCTCCATCTGTCCCATCTGCCACTTGCATAAACGCTCGTCGTTAATTGGCTGAATAAGTCTTAAATCTTCTCGCCGCCGTGATCGCAAACCGCGGGGTGCCGTATGATACTGTTGCAAAATTGACGCTTACAATATTCACGGTGTTATTATTATAGCCGATTTTCAAGTTAACTGTAAGAGACAGATCAAATTGATGAAATGGAGGTCACCACTTTACACATGTGCAGTAACTACCATTGTGATTACGGAATGTGGGGAGGGCAATTAGAAGTGAAGAGAAAAAATTGTCGGAAACGGCTTATCATCATTTGCTTGCGAACAAAGATTTGTGTCCATCCGATTTGCTAGATAGCTAATAGCAAAAATCATAGCGGCGCTTAGTGGCTCATTGCTAGGGCACGGTTGCTAACCGCCTAATCTGGGGGGGTAGTGACAGGAGCCCAGTGGTAGTGCGTTCAACCGCTTGTTGCAGACGTTCGTACTTCCAATCCGGTAGGCCACCCTGGTTATCACCGTATTAAAACCAACAAACAAGCGCCGTCTGCTTAGCAGTGATCGTCAAGATGACAGCTGTCAGTAAGTTTCCATTGTCAGTAACTGCAAGCTGCCCATAAGATCCTAATGTCGGTAAGTCCCCATTCTCAGTCTATCCCCCACTCTCAGTTGGTCCGCCACTCTCAGCAGGTCCCCACTGCCGGCAAGTCCTCACTCTCCACGTCCTCACAATCAGTAAGTTCGTCCCGGGAAGTCGGTTGCCGATGGCAGTGGCCGCTCAAACGGGACCCGTACCGCTCGGCTCCGAAACCCGAGCCGTGTTTACCGCCCCCCACTACCCCTCCTCCATGTGACGGACAGGGCGGGCGCTCGTGCCAAGGCTCACAGTGGCGGCGGCGCTCCCGTTGCCAGGGGGCTCACGGTGCCAAGCTTCTTCCCTTGCACGGTTCCGACCGCCGTCTCCCTTTTGCTCAACATCAAAGAATCGAACTGGAATCCAGGCGGGCCGCCTTGCGATTTAAACCGGGTGCTTAAATTCTAGATTTGAAGCTTTTGTGACTGCAAGGATTCATACTCTTGGTTCTTTCGGTAAAGTCACGTAGGTAAAAAGTGTCACGGAGTCGATGAGTGTCAGGCCAGGCAACCGATGACAGCACGAGAAAAAAACAACGACATTAAATTTGACTCCAGCGCTGAAAATTGAAGGAACCTCAGAGGTCCCTTCAATTCCGTGAAGAGGCACTTCTGTGGTTTCCGCCTCCGTCGCTCATTCTCGAAACCCCAAAAGTTTGCACTCTTCTGGGAAAGGTCCAAATAGGTTCGTCATATCTAATGACGTGACACCGATAGCGAAAGCAATAACACATTTTGGAAAAAATAACAATTTAACGGAACGTTGGAAAGCGTGCAATGTCATCGCAAATTGGACGTCGAATATAATAAAAAATGGACAAACGGTTAGTCTGTGTGGCGGATGATAACAGCTGTTTTACATTGGAGTCATGGCTTATTGACGGGCGCCTGTGGGATTGCAAGAGCCCGTCCGTAGGGTACTGGCACCGCGAGGACCCCACGTGAGCACGCCCGCAGCGCCACGCTCGCACCACCACGCTCGCACCCTACGCCTTTCTTCCAAGAGGACAGCTCGCTACTGCGACGACCCATGATTATATGCTCATGGCAACCATGAAGCCGATTTTTAAGAAGCAAACAATGGAGTTAATGTACTAAAAATATATATATTTGACATTGGGCTTTGTTTATTATTCTACTGCCCCGATCGTGAGCACTGGGCATGTATTTGGGTCTCGGCAATATCTTCATTTTGACATTCATAATTGCCGCTGTCAGACTCATCACCTGCATCTGCTAAATGGATCGCGTTTCTCCAATACTCAGACCCTCCACTGGCTCCCAATCCAATCCCGGATCAAGTTCAAGATCGCACTAATAATCTCCAAGATCCCCCAAGGACTTGCCTCTGCCTATCTCTCCCCTCTCATCTCACTCTACTCCCCTCCACGCACTCTCCTACCTCTCCCCTCTCATCTCACTCTACTCCCCTCCACCCACTCTCCTACCTCTCCCCTCTCATCTCACTCTACTCCCCTCCACGCACTCTCCTACCTCTCCCCTCTCATCTCACTCTACTCCCCTGCACGCACTCTCCTACCTCTCCCCTCTCATCTCACTCTACTCCCCTGCACACACTCTCCTACCTCTCCCCTCTCATCTCACTCTACTCCCCTCCACGCACTCTCCTACCTCCCCCCTCTCATCTCACTCTACTCCCCTCCACGCACTCTCCTACCTCTCCCCTCTCATCTCACTCTACTCCCCTCCACGCACTCTCCTACCTCTCCCTCTCATCTCACTCTACTCCCCTCCACGCACTCTCCTACCTCTCCCCTCTCATCTCACTCTACTCCCCTCCACGCACTCTCCTGCCTCTCCCCTCTCATCTCACTCTACTCCCCTCCACGCACTCTCCTACCTCTACCCTCTCATCTCACTCTACTCCCCTCCAACGCACTCTCCTACCTCTCCCCTCTCATCTCACTCTACTCCCCTCCACGCACTCTCCTACCTCTCCCCTCTAATCTCACTCTACTCCCCTCCACGCACTCTCCTATCTCTCCCCTCTCATCTCACTCTACTCCCCTCCACGCACTCTCCTGCCTCTCCCCTCTCATCTCACTCTACTCCCCTCCACGCACTCTCCTACCTCTCCCCTCTCATCTCACTCTACTCCCCTCCACGCACTCTCCTACCTCTCCCCTAGCATCTCACTCTACCCCCCTCCACGCACTCTCCTACCTCTCCCCTCTCATCTCACTCTACTCCCCTCCACGCACTCTCCTACCTCTCATCTCACGCTACTCCCCTCCACGCACTCTCCTACCTCTCCCCTAGCATCTCACTCTACTCCCCTCCACGCACTCTCCTACCTCTCCCCTCTCATCTCACTCTACTCCCCTCCACGCACTCTCCTACCTCTCATCTCACTCTACTCCCCTCCACGCACTCTCCTACCTCTCCCCTCTCATCTCGCTCTACTCCCCTCCACGCACTCTCCTACCTCTCCCCTCTCATCTCACTCTACTCCCCTCCACGCACTCTCCTACCTCTCCCCTCTCATCTCGCACTACTCCCCTCCACGCACTCTCCTACCTCTCCCCTCTCATCTCACTCTACTCCCCTCCACGCACTCTCCTACCTCTCCCCTCTCATCTCACTCTACTCCCCTGCACACACTCTCCTACCTCTCCCCTCTCATCTCACTCCACTCCCCTCCACGCACTCTCCTACCTCTCCCCTCTCATCTCACTCTACTCCCCTCCACGCACTCTCCTACCTCTCCCCTCTCATCTCACTCGTCCACTTCACGCACACTCTGACCTCATTCCAATGACCGCCACAAAAACATTGGGAGGACCTTTCTCAGCGGTGAATTGTTAAAACGGTTGTACATATTCAATGCACGCCTCTCAAACAAATATCACTAAGAGAAGACCGCCCCCCCTGTAAATATGCATCTCCGTTTTGTCCTCTTGGGCGCATTCACAACGTATTGCACATTAATCTTATTTCACAAATAGTAGCGTACGATTAGATGCATGCATCCCCAATAATGTCAATTCTGGAAGCTTCATTTGCAAATGGAAAAGCTCTTTTACTTTGATATCAGGGCTGCTGACCACTGGCCCAGGAGGCCTGAAATGCCAAGCGCTGGCAACAAACAAGCACCATTACAATTATAACAGATACAAAGTCAATCCATTTCTTAAATTGGCTAAGGTAAAAATTAGACAATGCTGGGAGGGGATTCCACAGTGGAGCAGTGGGAGGGAGGAAGAGAAGTGAGGTGACCTGCAGTGTGGTGCGCGACTGGTTGAGATGCGCGAGTGGGTTTAGTTCGTTGTGACCTGTAGTGGTGGTTGTACACAATACGGACAAGACAAAACAGTCAGCCCGGTAGGCTGAGACCTCGGCAGGGGCGGAGGAAACACGGAGGGAAGTTCGTGGTAACAGCAACCGTAACAGTAGCGATAGAAGAGTGATATGCTCGTCAGACAGACAAAATAACATTGGCCAGGAAACATGATTCGTGCAGTCAACGTGGAACTATGCAATTAAGTTGCTAATTTCTGAAATGTTATATTTTTTTCACATTAACAGCATCAGTAGCTTCTTATCCTAGCCATTTATCAGACAACTGCACGTGCGCTTGAGAGCGGGAAATAATGGCTAAAAGCAGACGGCTGAATAATTCATGGCCACGGTAAAGACGTCACGAAACAGCCACTTAAAAAGCTACTAAGTAGAATTGAGGAGCACACGGACGGTTGGATGAATGAGCTAAAGTATTCCTCTAATCAGGCTTGTTAATTTCGGGGTTTTCCGCGTTATTGATTATCGCATGCAAAAAACACAATAATCAATTATCAGTTTACCACTCCTATTGGTGACTGATTAACCATGGGGCGCCACGGTGGCGAGATGTTAACTTCCTCGCCTGGTATACAGGAGGTCGTGGGCTCGATACTGACCCTCACGCTTGTATATTTGGAGTTTACGTGTCTCTCTTCCCATAGGTCACGTGGATTTTTCTACAGGTCCTCTGGTTTTTCCCTCAAATTTTTTTTATCAAAGTGCGTTTAGAGTATTTGGCTGCTATAAATTTCCACATGATGATAAGCTACTTAGTTGAGCTATCAATTGTGGCCAGGTCTCTTCTGAACAAGAACTACATAGCTCAATGGGCTACCTGGTGAAATGAATAAAAAATGTAGTTTAATAGTTTTTAGGATCCCGGCCACTGGTTCCTTACGATGGCGGCTGCTGACCAATCAACATCGGATACGTTCTGAGGCCTCCTTTGCCAGTACCAAAATATACTAATAGGGTTTTTCTCCTTTTGGCGCGTCATCTGGTCGAACACCTTATGAGACTAGGCTCTAAGAAAAGCCGTCTCTGGTGTGGACCAATCAGTTTCAAGGACAATGCATAAATTATCAGAATATTGTTTTTTGTTTGCATTTGACTGCAAGTATTGTGGTTAATTTTAACATGATTCCTTGCAAAATGTGTCAGTTTTGTTGCCAGAAAAGGGGAAAAACCCAATTAGAACATCAGATACGGTTTGAACGTTTCGCTTGAAGGAAGAGGAGCTCTGTGATATCCACTTCCGTGGGCCATTCTCCAAGACGGAGGGGATGGCATGACGCCGATAGCTACAATCGACATAAAACTGCGGGAAATTTATCTTTTTTATTTCAAGGTTGCCATAGAAACCCCTGCAAAGCCCACTGGTCTTGCTAAGCGGGCCCAGACACTTCCACGTGGTCGTGGTAACACAGTAAGAGATATGTGCTGGAAAGAGCATGGGTGGGGGGGGTATGTGTGATGTGGGGGGGGGGTCTCACCTGGCTGCTCTGATTGGTCAGGTAAGCTTCAAAGTCGTCGTCATTAACTGTATCCTTGGAGTGCATCGAACCGTTTTGAACTGCGAGCGAGGCAACGGGGACAGGGGTGTGGGGGAGAGAGTGGTGGATAGTGATTTCAATTCGCAAGTGCACAACACTGACATTCAACTGTTTGTTGTCGCTGTTCTAATTTTAATAACAGCACGTATGCGAGGCAAAGATCCCCCGAATGGTCATATTCTTTGGGCAAGTGTTGTTAGAGAGCACCTATTAAGGTCAGAAAGGTACACCGAGGGATGATAGCACCAGCGCCAAGCTCAGATGCCTTCATCTCATCACTACGGATGTTTTTGCCACTGCATGCGGTATGCAGTGAAGGCTGAGTCAGCCTAGGAGAGGCCCAGGACTATTTAAGATATCGGTTTGGCAACCGATATTAACCGTGGCTGGGATTGAACTCGGGCACAAATGCAATTTTTTCAGACCACAAATTAAACGGACTTACAACACACCAATGTTAGCACATCCCGTGTCACACACCTAACACACAATGACACACTCATATATACAAACACGACACGAGCACGGATCACTCGACACTCTACAAAGTTACACGCTGCAACAGACACGCAAAGTGAATGCACACAAACACCTTACACCAGCACACGCCTTCAACATTATACTGCTGCACCCGTCACACAAGGTGGCAACACAAAGACGACACGAAATCTGAATAAATCACGTCTGTGCTCATGTCGTGAATATCTCACCACTCGCACTGCATGCCACACTCAATAAGCCGGTTATGCATATTCATCCAGGCATTTCATTCAGCGGGTACACGATTATTTAACCAAATTGTTTTATGGTGCTGCGTTGGCAGTGGTACACAGTGCACACTTAACACAGAGCAACACATTCATCAATAACCTTGTAAATATATGAAATAGGCGACGTTTTGGGCAATAGTCCTTCTTTACAGCACATGTGCACAAATAACAAACTTGGCGCATTCATCAAGTGTCTTTTGTTTGTTTTATTTTGTAAGCGAGCCATTCATCGTTTATCCTGTTTGCAGAAACTTCTGGCGCGAGTTTCTTGTAAACAATCATTTGTTGATGTTGTTGTTTTTGCTCGTGGTAGTGCTTGCATTGTTTCTTGTTGTAATGTTCTTACCCCGTGCCCCTCACTGGACATCAAAAAGAGCTTTATAGCTCATCGGATTCCTCCAGTATAAATAAACATCCGATTCTGCACGTGCCCACCCCTTCCTGCAGTGACCCCCGTAGCTGCCACCACTGCCGACAGATGGGTCTTGGGGCCTGTGGTCGTCCTTGTAGCAGAGTTGCAAAGTTCAATTTGGCATTACCAGCTGAAATAAAGTTTGAGTGCGTGTGTCAATAAGACTGTGGCTTTAAGTGGGGGTGGGGAGGGGCAACATCTATAAGAGGCAACGTTTTGGGCCAATGATTCTTCTGGACAGCACACAAATGCTCAAAACATCTTAGGGCATTCGTCACCACAATCTTACTTTCAAAAAGTCCCCCGATTTGTATGCACTTGAACTCACTAATGATAAGATCACACTGCTTTCCAGACCTACAACATACTCGCAACACCGATATAGGTGAAGGCAGGGAGCGAAGACTCGCAAGCATAGGAGTACAGTATTTCTGGACTGCCATCTACACTGCACAAAACCCAGCGTGACAAGTTGTGCAAATAAAGACAAACACCCATGACCCCGAGAGCGTGTGGAGAGACCTTCATCCAGCTGAGGCTTCACGAGCACACAACGCGCACGCTGACACGAACACACATTGACACAGTCCTAGCCCACGCAGACACACACACACACACGGGTCCGCGAGCCTTCCGATCTTGCTGGGGCAAGTTCAGTTTGCGAGAACCCGTTGCAGACGGGCAGGCGGCACACCGCGCAAAGTGCGCGAAGTGCGGGCCAATGCCGCGCGCAGCTGCCTTTGTTTCCCCATCCTACAGTGCCCTTGGTATTCATTCAAGGTCTGAGGAGACCTTGAAGAAACGTTGCACGCACACACAAAGCGTGCAAGGAGTCGTCATTCACAGCCACACTTCACACCCGCCCACGCCTCGCAGTGCGGGAGCACCACCGGAAGCCGAGAACACTCGCGGCTCACGCATTTAAATGTATAAATACGTGTGCATTTATACACACAGGGTATAAAAATACCCCGCGTTGGAGTGCGCGTGTACAAGTGTGCGTGTCTCTTTGCGACTGTGCGAGTATACTAGTGAGTATACGAGAATATGTGAGCATGCGTGTACTATACGTGTAAATGTTTGTCTTTAGAGTAGTATACGTGCACAGTATGAGTGCAACCTTGATTCAATTTCCTTAACACGGTGAGCATCAGTCGCGAATCTGTCCGGGGCCTACTCCAAGTCGACCTCCGATGAGCACGGTTGGCTACGTACGGTGCGAAAGAAGTTCAACACACAATACATTGGTAGTGTGTGAAAACACCACGAGGTAGACATTGATCTGACTCCACCACCCGCCCCATCATACACCGTGCAAGCCTCAATAGGTGCTCACAAACCGATACACGGATACAACCACAGGACGGGCCAGTCGTATATATCTTCTTACCTTTACCAGCCTGTCCTTTCGTTCGCTTGAAAGACAAAGGAGTGGTGGTAAGGGATGCGGAGGGGGCCCGAAGATAGGAGCACAGGGAAAGGAGAGAGACACAGACAGGGAGAGATGATACAAGGAGAGAGACGGGGGAGAGGAAAGGAGGCAAAAGGCAGAGGGGGAGAGCAGATGGAGTCCGTGAGACAATGCGAGACAAAATCGGCACGGGACATTGCCCAGGTGGCTTATATCAAAATCAGAATATTTGTTAATACTTAAGGAATCCGATGAGCTATAAAGATATTTTTCAGATAATTATAGGGCCTGCATTGAAAGGGGCCCAACTTTCAGAGATATATATTGAAGAGCTTTGACGTGTATTTAATCGGGTGAAGTTGACATCCTTCGAGATATTATTAAAGTGAATGCCATGACCTTTCAGAGATCTGATCACAAATCGTTCACCACTAACTTTTATAGAGTTCCCTTCCGGTATATTTTACCTTTTGACTGTCGTGTACAGTATAGCTCTCTGTCAATCCACTGCTGGATGAGGGCCTCCCCATATTGTGCTGCGTCGTCATGGTTATTTGACCACACTTCAGCACAACTGGTCAGTACGAGTTGAAGACGGAGGAGCATAGGAGTACAGGACAATGGATTTGTTCCACGTTACCATGCTGCCCGCAACTGTTATTGACTTACACATCGATCTACTACGAAAGTGACGGCCAATGGTTTTCATAGGAAATCTGTTGCATCAAATGTTATGACCCGAGATGAAAAATTTAGGCGAGGGTGAGAGTTCAATTCCAGCCAATAATTAAATCACCTTGGGTGTTTAAAAATCTACAGCCGAGTTATATGGGCAAGAGTTTAGGGGATTCGAGCTATCGTCAAAAGGTTTTGTGGTTTCAATGGTTATGGGCTATGGTTTCAGGTTCAGGCTAGAGTTAAACTATATGTTCCCTAGCTCAGTTTTTGGTGATAGGCTTTAGGGCTTAAGTAAAGGTTTAGGCCTCGGGATATGCTCCAATGTCCGGGTGTATCACCATCATCACTATCAGTCGTGATCAATCTACTGCGAAAGGGCCTCCAAACCCGCCTCCTCCATCTCTCGCGACCCTGCTCTGCAACAACGCACATTAGCACCTGGGCACGAGCCGATTTCATTGCTCCATCTCCTCGGCCCAAGTCATTCTCGCCGTCCCTTTGCCGCCGCTCAAGGGATGGGACGCATTGGGCGTTCATAGGAACACACGTGAAACTGAAGTCGATGCTTTAGCAGTGGCAGCATCTGTGTGGATTTCACCCCAACGGCAAACACCTCCGGACTCGCTGCACCGATAAATTGATAAGAGGTCGCTTTGACAAACGTCAGTGGACGTGATTGGTTGGCGGCGCCTCTGAACACCAGCCAGTGTGAGAGGTTGCCCGTGTCCTTTCAATCAGCGCAGCGGTGGAGTGATAGTCGTGCGATGAGTAATGAAACCAGCGGCCACATTTCGCCTGTGCTGATGTGCCTGGGAGAATGGATGTGTGCCAGTGAGGTGGTCAGGCTACAGAGCGCGTGTTTGAGGCTCCATCTCCCTCGGTCTTCACCACTCCTCCCATCGTCCTGTCTCTCGTCTTCCTCCTCATCTCCCAAGTGGCTCACCCTATATTCCGTCTTCTCCCCCCCTACCCTCAATACTTCAATGCCTCAAACATCTTCTCCACTAGATTTGAAGCTTTCGTGACTGCAAGGATTCATATTCTTAGGTTTTTTTTCGGTAAAGTCACGTCGGTAAAACATCAAAATTAATAAAAATAAATAAACATCAAAATTAATAAAAATAAATAAATTTTATTTATTTTTATTAATTTTGATGTTTTACCGACGTGACTTTACCGAAAAAACCTAAGAATATCTTCTCCACTCCCTCTTTCCTTCTCTCCACAAGCTCCACTCCAACTACTCCCACTCCATCGCCGCTCCATCTCCCTCAACTTTCGCTTCTCACCTCCCCCTTCATTTTGACATTACCCGCTTCCACCCCACGTGTCTCCCGCCTTTCACACACACACAGATCCTACACGTGCACCCCCCCCCCTCATCTCCCATACTACCAACTTCCGCCCCTCCCATCCTCCTCGCTCTCCTCCCTACTCTCCATCCCACCCACCATCTCCCTTTCTTCCATCTACCTCCTCCCCAGTGCCCCCCCCCCCACAAATCTCCCATCTCACACAAAATGTAGGACCCCCATCCTCCTCCTCCTCACACCCCCCACCCCCGCCCTCTTCCCTCGTCCCTTCACGTCCCTTCCATCCCACCCCCACATCCTCATCCCTCTCCCCCCTCCTCGAATGCATCATCCCCCTACCGTGATACTCCCCTCCATTCCCCCTCCCTGCCCTTCTCCAATCTCCCCCCACTTCACTTCCGATATCCCCCTCGTCTCCCCCACCACCCTCACCACTCCCCCCCTACCCCGGACCTGCTCCCCCTCTCCCACTTTAACCCCCCCCAACCCCCACCGCCCCCAGCTACTTCTCTGCTTCCAGACATCTCCACCCACCCCACACTTAAACCCCCTCCCCCCACCACTTAGACCCCTGCACCCACCACTACCTTGTAGTCCCCAACACCCGAACCCTGTACCCCCCCCCCTGCCAGTACCTCCTTTATGGCCTCGTCTCTCCCCCCGCGCTCTCTACCCCCCTCTCTACCACCCCCCCCGCTCTCTACCCCCCCCCCCCCGCTCTCTCTACCCCCCCCGCTCTCTACCCCCCCCGCGCTCTCTACCCCCCCCCCGCTCTCTCTACCACCCCCGCTCTCTACCCCCCCCCCTCTCTACCCCCCCCCGCGCTCTCTAACCCCCCCCCGCGCTCTCTACCCCCCCCCGCGCTCTCTACCCCCCCCCCGCGCTCTCTACCCCCCCCCCCCGCTCTCTACCCCCCCCCTCTCTACCCCCCCGCGCTCTCTACTACCCCCCCCCGCGCTCTCTACCCCCCCCCGCGCTCTCTACCCCCCCCTGCTCACTCTACCCCCCCCGCGCTCTCTACCCCCCCCCCGCGCTCTCTACCCCCCCCCCCCGCTCTCTACCCCCCCCCGCTCTCTACCCCCCCCCGCTCTCTACCCCCCCCCCGCGCTCTCTACCCCCCCCCCCGCGCACTCTCCCCCCCCCCCGCTCTCTCTACCCCCCCCCCCTGCTACCCCCCCCCCCCCCACTCTCTACCCCCCCCCGCTCTCTACCCCCCCCGCTCTCTTTCCCCCCCCCGCTCTCTCTAACCCCCCCACCCCCGCTCTCTAACCCCCCCCCCTCTCTACCCCCCCGCTCTCTACCCCTACCCCCCCCCCGCTCTCTACCCCCCCCCGCTCTCTACCCCCCCCCGCTCTCTACCCCTACCCCCCCCCCCCGCTCTCTACCCCTACCCGCTCTCTACCCCTACCCCCCCCCCCGCTCTCTACCCCCCCCCGCTCTCTACCCCCCCCCCGCTCTCTACCCCTACCCCCCCCCCCGCTCTCTACCCCCCCCCGCTCTCTACCCCTACCCCCCCCCCCGCTCTCTACCCCCCCCCGCTCTCCACCCCCCGCTCTCTACCCCCCCCCCTCTCTACCCCCCCCCCCCGCTCTCTAACCCCCCCCCCCCGCTCTCTACCCCTACCCCCCCCCGCTCTCTAACCCCCCCCCGCTCTCTACCCCCCCCCGCTCTCTACCCCCCCCCGCTCTCTACCCCCCCCCCGCTCTCTACCCCCCCCCCCGCTCTCTACCCCCCCCCCCTCTCTACCCCCCCCGCTCTCTACCTCTACCCCCCCCGCTCTCTACCCCTCTACCCCCCCCCCGCTCTCTACCCCCCCCCCGCTCTCTACTACCCCCCCCCCGCTCTCTACCTCCCCCCCCCCCCCCCCGCTCTCTACCCCCCCCCCGCTCTCTACCCCCCCCCCCGCTCTCTACCCCCCCCCCCCCGCTCTCTACCCCCCCCCCCCCGCTCTCTACCCCCCCCCCGCTCTCTACTCACCCCCCCCCCGCTCTAACCCCCCCCCCTCTCTAACCCCCCCCCCCCCGCTCTCTACCCCCCCCCCGCTCTCTACCCCCCCCCCGCTCTCTACCCCCCCCCCCGCTCTCTACCCCCCCCCCCCCCCCCCGCTCTCTACCCCCCCCCCCTCTCTACCCCCCCCCCCCTCTCTACCCCCCCCCTCTCTACCCCCCCCTCCTCTACCCCCCCCCCTCTCTACCCCCCCCCCGCTCTCTACCCCCCCCCCCCTCTACCCCCCCCCTCTCTACCCCCCCCTCTCTACCCCCCCCCTCTACCCCCCCCTCTCTACCCCTACCCGCTCTCTACCCCTACCCGCTCTCTACCCCCCCCTCTCTACCCCCCCCCCGCTCTCTACCCCCCCCCCCCCACTGTAACCCCCCCCCGCTCTCTACCCCCCCCCCCCACTGTAACCCCCCCCCGCTCTCTACCCCCCCCCGCTCTCTACCCCCCCCCACTGTAACCCCCCCCCCCCCACTCTCTACCCCCCCCCCCACTCTCTACCCCCCCACACCCCACCACTCTCCCCCCCCCCACCTGCTCGAGTCGGGCCGCGCTCATCCTTCAGCGCCGCGTCTCTCGCTCCGCGCTTCCTCGGGAGTGGGCGGTGTGGGGGGGGGCGCTGTGGAAACGATCGCAGCCGCAGCAGCAGCAGTAGTCGACACTTCTCCTCCTCAGCCTCGTGCCCCCCCCCCGGCTCGGGCGGCGCGAGCGACTGAGGGAAACGCGGCGGCCGCTCGTCTTCACCACCACCACCTCGTCTCGGCGTCTCCTCCACGCCTCGCTCTCCTCGTCTCGGCGTCCACCTCCACGCCTCGTCTCTCCGTCTCCGGCCTCTCCTCTCTCCCCGCCGCGTCTCCCACTCCTCCTCCTCTCTCCCCGCCGCGGCTCGCTCGCGTCTCCACGCTAAATGAAGGCGGCCGCGCGCAATGGCGGCTCTAGGGGCGCGCGCGCTGCTCGGGCGCTCTCCCCATTGGTTCGCGGCGCCGCACGTGACCTCGAGGCCCCTCCCCCTACTGCCCCCTCCCCCCCTACTACCCCCTCCCCCCCTACTACCCCCTACCCCCTCCCCCCCTACTACCCCCTCCCCCCCTACTACCCCCTCCCCCCCTACTGCCCCCTCCCCCCCTACTACCCCCTCCTCACCGCCTCCACCACCGTCGTCCCTGGCAAACTTCCAGTGGTGGAAGACCTCTTCCAAAAACGGTGGCGGTCTTCCAGACAGGGAAGATGGCTCTTCTTTAGGGCACCATTGTGTGATAAATACAGAAGACTGTCTTTCTCCTGGTGGGAGACGTTCACGTGCGAACGTGAGAAGGGCTAATGCCCGAAACGTCGCTTATGTAATTTTCGTTTTAAGGCCGCGGTTATAGGGGAATGGTATGGGGTTTTTTTTAAAGAGAGTTTTGTCTTAAACATGTGTAAAGACAACTTACAGAGATAACCGTGGATTTCTAAATGCGGAAGTTGCCTTCCAGAAACGGTAGATAGATCTTAAAAAAGAGACGGTAGATATCTTCCAAAAATATATGTTGTAGAAGACACATACCCAACCGAAATGAGAGCTCTACTGGAATCAAAACACAACTACCGGATTGAGAAGTTCCCTACCGGAATGTGAAGATCGCTTCCGGAATCGTAAGATGCCGACTGGAATAAGAAGATTTATTTCTAAACGAGAATATCTCTGCCGGAATGAGAAGTCCTCCGACAGGAACCGGAAATATAAAAAGATCGCAGTGCGGAGCCCCGTTCTAACATGGCGGGCAGTGACGTCATAGACGTCTGTGGCCAATCACGTGGCCGCGAGATGTGGCGCGCGAAATCTTTAAATGTCCGTTTTACGCGTCGTAGGCTTTTGCGACCAATATCATCCACAATACAGGGGTTTTGTGTTAAATATTTTAATTGTGCCGCAACTTATTTGTATTTACGTATTAAACGCCGATTTAAATACACGCGAACGGCCTCACTGAGCATACCCTGGTTACATTTTAATGATTGCAATTTCCCGCACGTGCATGTTTTAAAAGCGAAAGAAAAACCCACTGGTTTTACATGACGATGTATAGGTGTGGTTGTTGCTGTGGATAATCAAACAACATGGGGGAAGGACACGTTACGTCGACTTGGCATTCTCTGGTGTGACACTGGTGAGAGTTGGCCCTAAAGAAGGCTGTCTCGAGGGTAGACCAATCCCTCTCAAAGATAATGTATATATTATCAGAGCATGTTTCTGTATTCATGTTCACCACAAGTACCGTGTGTGGTTAATGTATACATGATTCCTTGGAAAAGGTTTCGGTTTGGTGTTTGAGCATCTTAAAACCTTTTATTTCCAGAAAAGTTAAAAGCTATTCTTATTTATGTTTTCATTCTTCCAAGGTTGATCCAACGTACGACCAAAGTTGGGCCAACATCGAATGTTAACTTGGTGATTTCCTTCATGAAGTGCAAAGTGCAATGTTTATATTTCACAACAAAAGTTAAAGTAGCAAACATGGGAATTCCTTGCACGTAAATTTATTTTGCGGTCTGGCAGGGGCGACACAAAACTGTGCTCGCTCGCCTCGTCGTTACCACACTCGTTCTAGACAAAGCACTCCGGGGGGGTCTGCCCTCCTCTCGACAAACCCAACAGCACCACCGTTGCAAATAGAAACCCGAAGCGACCGCGTCCAGTCTGTTCTCCTATAACACACGCGGTAGTTGCGTTCCCGAAGGACACCGCATTACGGAAAAATCGCGTTATAATAAATAATATAGGGTGAAGCATAGTCCGCGATAGCATGCGGGATTCGTACGCAGGCTGAACAAAGACGGAGGCGCGTTGGTAGCGTCTATATCAGTGGTTCTTTTTAACCTGGGATTAACCTGGGATAAACCTGGGGGTGCGAGACGTGGCCAGATTTTTTGTTAGAAGGTAAATCATCAAAACAAATTAAGCACGGGGGCGTAAGTACAACTACTTTGTTTCATCAAACTATGTATTTATTTATTAACATTATAATTTAACGATTGAGAACCAAGGGGGTGCAAGGCTACAGTGAAGGTTAAGAACCACTGGTCTAGAAGCATCCAGCAGAATCCCAATTCCTTGCATGGTGATGCTCGCCGAGGCAGCCGTTACGAAACGCTTAATTCCGACTCGCGCGACTTGGTTACGTTGGCTCGATCGCGTTATATCCAACTCGCATTCGCGTTATTAAATAAATACCTGTTCCCTAACACATTCATCGCGTTATATCCAATTCGCGTTATAGAAACACGCACTGTAGGAGAACAGACTGTTACTCTCTAATTTCGTGTGTGCATAGACTCTGGTTGGCTGTTCGCGTTGTCAACATGAGCAGGGAGCAAACCACCTCGGTTGGCTCTCTCACCTCAAGTTGTAGTTTGTTATTATTAAATTACTATTAAATTGACCCTTTTATGCAAAAGGTTCCTTTCTCTGGGTAACAGTTCATGGCTTGTGGCCCTCATTAATAAATTATCTTCTCAACAAACGAGTCCATGATGATGATGATGCCGCTGTCACTTTGGCAGTGGTGCACAAGGACAAACGACGAAGCCCACCAATCGTCAATAACATTGTGGCTTCAAACGTAAACATCTATTAAATGAGCAATGTTTCGGATAATGACCCTTCCTCATAGCAGTGCTATTGACGAATGTGGGGAGGTTTTTTTTCTTTAACGAATTAAGAATAAAATTACTACAAATACAGCAGCAGCAGCAGCAATGGGCTGCAATTACAATTTTTCTCATCTAGATATATTTATAATGGTAATGTTTGTTGCAGGCCACTGGGCGTTTTGGGCCCCTGTGGGCTTGTGTTCGGAAATGTATGTTGAACTTCTTTCACACCGTACGTAGCCAACCGTGATAATTGTTATTTTAATGTCAAAATATGGTTCCTAAATAGTCCACAATTGCAATCGACTCCAGATCTGTTGGGCCCTTAAGTCAACCACTCTCTCTTGGTCAACTTCGTTACCGGTCTGGGGTTTTCCAAGCTAAATGTCAACAGGTTTACAACTCATTTCGTTAGAACTGCTTTTTGTGTTTAGTTTGGTGTCCTTCCCTCGCACCTCCACTTCGCACGGTTGTCTATGTACGGTGCGCAAGAAGTTCAACATTCAAACAAGTCAAACCTCTCATCACTCCACTGGCAGTTCCATCAGGAGCTGTAATCAGTTAGCCTTCTAAGAAATAGCCCAGATTTTGGGCCAACGTTGATCTAACGTTCCATGTTGACTGGGAGTTCTGGGTGCAACGATGCTTTTGCTCACTAAAATGTATTTATTTCAATAACTACACTAATTAAATCATTGAGAGGTGAGAGTATATGCTGACAGAGTGAAGCATATCAGTCTTAGACAACCTTAGAAAAAAAAAGTTGATAACAGTTCGATAACAATGAATTGGCAATAAAACCAGATCTTTCCAGAATAAAAGTTAAAACGGAGTGACATCTCTCCTTAATTATGATTCCCCAATACGTTCACGTCACAATCAACAGCAGAATCTTTTCTTGGCTTGATGGCCACGTATTGAAAATCCTGCATACAATTCCAGGTACCACGAGACAGGCGTAAAACAGCCAATGAGAAACCTTCATTTCCTACTTTGTAAAATATCTATTTTTTATGAACACTGGGCACTCAGGAATGTTCCAGAATCACATCAACGGGAACTGCAGCAGTATAACCCGTAAACACACGGCTCCCCGCACGTCCACCTTCATCGGTCCGTCCGACAACTGTAATGTCCTCATTAGGGCCTTCAGCTAGGCTCTGACAAATATAACTATTCTACAGATAAACTCACGTCAATTGCATTCAACAATGGAAATGAGGCATCAAAAAAGCAAGTAACGTACCATATGTAAATGCGGAGACAATCTTAAACCACTTTTTTTTGGCACAAACATCCTTGTGGAAATCTGCCAGGCTGTGTGTGTGGAGGATATTGCCGGCGAGCATACAGGCATGTGGAGTGGTAGCACTGCCCAAAGGTAAATGACAATTATCATGCTTTTTTACTTATCCGCGAAAGCCTCAACGAGTCTCACAAACTCGTATTCAGGAGGGCCCTGCATTGCGATGTTTAGTGAAGTCAGGAAACCGGCACACCTGGAGAAAAACCCACCACACACACACGACAGAGGGTAACATTCAACAGCCCGGCATGGATGGATTCAATAATCTGAACTATTTCAACTGCTATGTTCTTCCAATGTCACAGCCAAAGTCGACAACACCCGGTATTTCAATTTCCCATCCGAGTACTGACCAGGTTCAACCGTGCTTAGTTTTGGAGATCCCACATACTTCAAGAGTGACTTGGTTATATCCGATCAGGAGCCAGTCGTGCGTTACGTAACCTTTCTAGGAAATAACCGAATGAAAAAAAAATCTATTTATGTTTTGAAACGATAATGGAAACAAGACATCTCACTTAACTGTATAGACCAGGTGTCGGCAACCAAAATAACAAAAAGAGCCATCTCTTTCCAATTCGGTACAAAATTCAGTATTTCAAGAGCCGCAATGCATCTGAGTACATACTGTACATACGTACATATCGTCAAGAAGCAGCCCGTAAAGAGCCGAATGCGGCTCCGGAGCCGTAGGTTGCCGACCCCTGGTATAGACACTGACACTGCCCGGGACTCGATATCTGGATATTAGCCACGGAAAAAATCACCTCGACCACCCACCCAGCGATTCGATGAATTGTGAATCATTACGATTCGGTGCCGACATTCAAGAACGCATTCCGTTCGTGTTGCTTTTGCCGTCTCGCTTGTACCGTCTCTTTCGTACTTTCATTTGCTCCACGAGCCAAAAATGTAACGCTGGCATGCGGCTGGGTATAATTTGAACGAATCTCAAACATTTGCTACGCAATTCGATTGTGAGAATAAGAATTGACTCAAATTGATTAATGGATTAACCAATCTGCACTGGGCAGCATGATGTATGGTTACAGAACCCCCATGACCGACACTGCTTGGTGAGGCCTTCATTCGGGAGTGGATTGACAAATGGCTGGACTGTACATGTTATTTATAATCTACTTACAATTAGGCTAATGGGAGAGAGGGGAAAAAAAACTTGCACACGCGAGACGAACAAAATAAGGAACGGGACAAAGGGAACGGTTCTCCAATGAAACTGCGACCAAGATCGTTACAATTCGTGGAATCGCCGAGGTGTGGGCAGGGGACGCTGTGAATCGTTCAGTGCCCACGTTACCCGTGTGAGTAATGTTACGTGTCAAATGAAAGTGCCAGCAACACTGTCAACACAACTGATACCTTCTCGTTAGAAACCACTTACGACTGTGGTAAACCTTGAAATGTTGACCAAAAACAATAGTTTTAATAAGAACAGCGCAAGCTCTCTCTTACACGAATTCGAGATCGCGCTGCCGTGTGCAATTCGGCACGATGTCCGACGTTTCGCTCCACGTGCCGGGAGCTTCTTCAATCAATGCAGTTCCCGAACAAGCCGTACGAGCGCAACCGCAAAAAAAACCTGCGCAGCGGCGCTACAGACGAACGAACATTCATGCATTCGCACGGATGGATACGGCCACTCGGCATAACAATTAATTTCTCCGATACAGGCCGCAAAGTGGACGGATAGACATTCCTTACCGGGCTCACTGTGGAGCATCTTCAATGGACGCCGCTCCCCGTGAGGACACGGGGAAGGGGTAAATTCACACTCGATTTCACGCACGGTGTTTTAACATTTAATGAACGCAAAGCTCGCCACGACTCCGCAACAAAACGTCTCGGCAAAGAAAAACCATCCGCGTTGTTGGTGCTCGCCACGTCCTCGGTCGCCGCCAAAGTCGGGGAAAAAGCTTTGCGGTCACCGAGTGGGCATGCCTCCTCAAACATCGCGTCACTCCCACGTGCGTCACGTGTTTGTAATCAGTGCGGCCGCGGCAGCCGCACGATTGAACGTTTCTTGTGTTTAGTTTGTCGTCCTTCCCCCGCACCTACGATTAAGCACGTACGGTGCGAGAGAAGTTCAACATACATACATACAAGTTATTGGGGCGATTTGTTTAACCATTTGGCCGCGCAACGATTTTCAAAAGCCAATTGATCAAACTCCCCTGGGGTTCGGGACCTGCCGCCGAAACGACGGCACAGCAAGCCGAACCCACGAAACGTCTCGTTCAAAACCACCCCCTCCGTGTCAAACGCGCTCGCCGCCCATCCCAAGTGGAGACACCGGAGAGAGCCCGGCGATGGGCGTGTGGAAAAACCTGACCGGGCACCGTAGCAGACCATTGTGAACCATCGTGAGAACCCTTGGCTAAATTCAGGCGGAGGCACTTAAGACATCTGTTCGGCTCCCGCCAAGGCGGTGCGGTGCTGTGGCCCTCAGGCCAGGACAAAAACTTAACCAATGAAGATCACTAAACGGTAAAATTGGTTTTACAATTCGACAATCTAACACCTAAACCAGGAACGGGGCAGCCTCCGATACCCCCGCCACTACCACGCTCGCAACAATCCACGATAATATTCATGCACAAGGTCTTCCACGTGAGCCGTAGAATTGCCGTGTGTAGAGCTTGCACCGAATAAAAAAATACACGAGGTTTCAACGAACCTTCCATAGGACACAAGAGAGAGGCAAGCCACTCAGACACACAAAAGACAAAGATCCCTCCAGAATAGCCTTAACAGACTTCTGTGGCAAGTGCTGCTAAGCGAGAATCTATGGAGGCCGGCACTGCACACGAGGAGAAGGAAGGCCAGCACCATGCCCGGCCGCCTTTGTCTCCTGAGTGGCGATGTTTACACACTGCACCAGGTACTCAATCCAGGCTCAGTTGACCTAGGGGAGACCCAGAACCGGTTCAGATAATCATCGCAGGTGTTGGTGGCAGTGAGCGGGGAATCGAATTCGGGTCACCGGGTTCGGAGTGCAGCACGCTAACCCGTTGCGCTTCTGTCTTGCGCACACACACGCCGACCAGCATGCATTGCATTGAGCCAAGTTCTAGCATCCTCTAGGTATATTGGCAGACACTACTTTCTGGCTGAACACGTTCTGGGTTGCTGGTAGACTGGAGTCGGTGGCACGTGACGAGTAGTAGCCAAAGCCATGCCGAAAGGAAGTACATAGGTGCTGTGTGCAGAAAAATATTTTCCGGGTCGTTGATCCGGACAGATCTCGGCTGAAATTAAAAGTCCCATTATCGGCATTTCATCGGAAAAATCTACTCCCACTCATGTCGGCTCTTTCCGAGTGTTCTCATTGCGGGTCAAGTCACTGCTTTGGATGGCGGGGGGGGAGGAGGGGTAAAAAAAAAAATCGCTTCCAAGTAGACCTCTTGTCGTTTTAAATCTGCGCCAAGGAGATAAAAAAATATAATATAACAGCGGCGAGGCCGCCGCTTCTTCGTGCGTTATCGCCGGCCCGCGGTGGGAGAGAGGGCGAGAGCGGAAGCGACGACGCCGACAGGAGAGTAGACAGGAGAGTCACTCGGCGGCAGAGACCACCGCTCCGCCCGAGCCCGACAAGGCTTGGAGCACGGGGAGCAGGTAGCGCTGGTGCACGTGGGCAGCCACCTCTTGCGTGCGTCGAGCCACTTCCTCCAGCAGCGCCGGCAGCTCCGCACGCGCCTGGAGAACAAACCGGCGTTGTGGGGGGGGGGGGGGGGGCAGAGCTCGTGGGTGCCGCGGTGGTGAGATGTTAACTACCTCGCCTGGTATACAGGAGGTCGTGGAGTTCGATCTTGACCCTGACGCCTGCTGTATCTTTGGAGTTTGCATGTCTATCTCCACATGGTTGCGTGGATTTTTTTCCGCGTCCTCTGGTTTTTCCCTCCAAAATTTAGAATCAACATCACGCGTCTAGAAGTATTTGGCTGCTATATATTTCTATGTGGCAAGCCACTTCGTTGAGCTATCATTTGTGTCCAGGTCGCTTCTAAAAAAAGAGCTACGTAGCTCAGTGGGCCTTACCTAGTAAAATAAAAAAAATAGTTTGGAATAGTTTAGTTTGAACACATCCGCCGAATCGCTGTCACACGTAGCAGGACGCACATTGTGTGGTATTGTTGGTCCGTTGCGCGGCCAGGAACCTAAACGTTTACCGTAAATGAAAAATCTACTTGAGCTATTCTCAATGTATGTATTTTTTACTTCTTTCGCACCGTGCCTAGCCAACCGTGTTCAATCGGAAGTGCAGGGGAAGAACAACTAATCCAGAGACGAATGAAGGCCTGGCCAAACGGTGGTCAGTCATGGGGAGTTTTTTTTTTTTGGGGGGGGCCAGGACCGCTTTCCGATATCGTTCGCCAGCAACGTCAGCGCGGCGCGCTCACCGCTGCCGCCGTTTGTTACCAAACACTACCCCAGGACGGACGCCTAGCGGAGAGCGTCGGCACGCACCGTCTTGAAGCCGGCGTGCAGGCCCTCGGCCGTCCACGTGGCAGTCGGCTCCACGCGCGCCCACAGCAGAGCGCCGGCCCCGGCGGCCGCGTCCCAGGCACGGGCCACCCACGGCCCCACGGCCCCGCATGCGCGCGCCCACAGAGGCGGAACGCTCTCCTGCAGCCAGCTGTCCCGCACAGGACACAACCACAGCCACAACAACAACTTTGACAACTATGGCGATGATGATGACGATGATACTAATGAGGTGAGTGAGGCAGCTATCGAGCGTGCAGGCGGTGCAACCGCACCAGCGTCTCATGGGAGCTGGAGATGCCCAGACACCAGGATACGCAAGTTAGACAGGGGGAGGGGCCCCCCTCATTTAATTACCAGTGATGATTCATTCCAGCACTCCTGTCACTCACTCATCTGCGATTAGTCCTACCTCCTCACTCCCCCTCTATTGCAACTTCCATGGTTACTGTTACCGTGAACTTCACTCGTTAATTTCTACTACCATGTTGGTCGACCGTATCATATCATATACACGGTGTTCACCCACCCACTTACTCATTCGATGTCACAAACCCACGCAACGCACTCACCACACTGCAGGTCACCTCACTTCTCTTTCTGCTCCTTCCCTCGGCACTGCTCCACCGGAGAATTTTGTCCTCCCATCATCGTCATCTCTTTCGCCCCCATGCTCATACAATGATAACCTCGCTCAATTCACAAAACGCGTTACGCTATTTATCCACGACAACTTTAACAGTGCTGTTTTGTTGCTGGTGCGCGTTAGATCTAACGATTCACATCTCGCCGCTGTCGGTGGGCCAATCTTGATCTGTGACTCGGAAGAACTTCTGGGAAAGTCTTACTCGGCTTAGTGAGACTAAGCCGTGGTGGCGAGATGTTAACTACCTCGCCTGGTATTCAGGATGTCGTGGGTTCGATCCCAAAGTCTACACAACGCCCACCTCGTTATTCCCAAGAAGCCTCCCATCTGAGTGCTTAACCACGCTCAAGCCTGGTCATTTGCACGAGAGTGAGTGAGTGAGCGAGCGAGCGAATGAGAAAGCGAGCAAGTGAGTGAACAAGTGAGTGAACGAGCGAGTGAATGAGCGAGTGAACGAGCGAGTGAATGAGCGAGTGAACGAGCGAGTGAATGAGCGAGCGAGCGAGCGAGCGTGTGACCTCCCACCTGTATCCCCATGCCGAGTAGAGAGTCGCGACGGCCCAGCCTCGCTGAGCGGCCTCGGCAATGCCCGTCTCACGCAGCAGCCTGGCACTCGCCGAGTCTAAAATTCAAACGCGCGGCTGAAAACACCTTCATATGCAGAGGACTGCTGAGCTTTGGCAATCGTTGGTCGCGACCGGCTCCTCACCGCCTGGCTGCCGCACTCCAGCTCTGTCTGAGGTTCCTCAGCGATTGCGAGATGCCATTTGATTCGCACGAACTGTACATCAAACGGTGCAATTACAACACAACGCAGATTCACGGCGCCCGTAAATGCACGTAAACAGTGGGCATCTTCTTGGTTCTTTCGGTAAAGTCACGTAGAATGGAAATAATAAAATAATAAAAATAAAACATAATAAAATAATTCTCACGACGTTTTGGCCACAACGCAAGCAGCCGTCCCCTCAGGTGAAGAACAGGTCTGTCGAGAAGACAGAGCCTGAATGACACACTCCAGGCTTGGAGCGACTATTTAAGCTGGGATGGAGGGGGGAAGGGCGCCTTGACAAAAAAGTTTGCATATCAAGAGGAATTTAGATTTAAATCGAAACAGTGGGCATGTTTCTTTTGTAGAAGCTGGCAGTCACTCAACTCTTCATGGCTACACCCATGTCTTCGAGGCGAAGGAGGAGGAGCAGGAGGAATGCCAAAGCAAGGCGTGCGATGTTTGGGTCCTAAACGACTGCGCTTCACAAACAAACGAACGAGCGATCATCCCCGGCGCTCACCTTGCACGGAGCCGCTCCGCCACACGTCCTGAGCCAGGAAGCAGCAGAGCAGGAAGACGCCGGCCATCACGTACCTCCTCCACGGCACCGCTTTCACCTTCATCTTCTCCAGGAGGCCCTGCACACGCGTTGCCCGCGCGCACCCGGGTTAAACGTGGTGGGTTGTCGGCACGGCTCGCCGGAGCGCTCTGCTTTAGACGGTTCCCCCGCCAGCACGGTTTTGGCGGCGGTGATCGTTGACGCCGTGTTGCAGGAAACTTACAAGCGGGCAGCATTTTAAGAAAGCCACGTTGCGATTTCGGGGTAGAGGCAAAGCACAAACGATTCAATCGAATTCTAGCCAGGCTAGCCCGAACCACACTGGCCACTACTACCACCACCCATAACACCACCACACTAGCCAAACAGACACTAATACCACCTCGAACACTAACCACACTTAGCCTTACCCCCAAGCATATTTAGCCAAGACTCTAGCCCTACAGGTGATGGTCATCACGACCTACTTCTACCCCAAACCACAAAGATCAACCCGACTCAGACCCTGCCCGTAACTATCGCAAGCAAACACGATCCGTAACCGTCAACACACATTGCCAACCATCCTCCGGCCATAATTCTAACCACGCTGGCCATCGACACATTGGCACTACCAACTCGGGTACCCGCGTTGGTAACACACTGCGCTAACCACCACACCACCACCACCGTCACGTGCATCAGGCCCTAGTTGAAAGCGTGCCGACACCGGTTAAGCAAGTACCTTTGTAGTGCTAATACGTGATCCGAGGGTATAAATACTCACGCGAACACAGGTGACAGTGTTCGAATGACGTCACAAGGGAAGAGAGAGAAAAGGCGGTGCGAGAGAGAGGACGCCCAGGGAGAGAGGGGTTGACGTCACCGGGTGAGGCGGGGCGATTGGGCCCCTTCTCGGAGGGAATTGGAGGCGGGTGGACGCGTGCGGTGTGAGCCCGCGCAAGAATCAAGAAAAGTGTGGCCTCTCGGGCTTCTTCTGGCGGACTCTTCACACGTCTATCAACACGCAACTCTCATGACCGAGGTCATCACCGGCGTGCGCTCTGTGCGTGAACTCACGGCGCAAGCGGCGGTGCTCTCCTTGAGGCCCTCCCTGCGCCGGCTCTGCAGCGCCATCTGCTTGTTGGCCTCCGCAAACACGAGCACCGACTCGCGTAGCTCCTGCCGAGAAACCTGGGGGGGGTCAGGGCGGCGGGGCAGGGGGGCGGGAGGGGCACATATGTTCCACCGATCGCCGGCGCACGAGAGAAAGAAGATCGTGAGCGGAAGAGCCAGGAGGCATCAATGTGGCGCTACGCTCGGACGCGGCGCGACGAGATGGCCTCACCTTGCCTGACACGGAGTTCCAGTTCTTCAGCAGATGCTGCAGGAGGAGGCTGAAGGGGAAAAGACAGGGGAGTCACTCAGGAGTCGCCCATAGTGAACCTGCGTACAACAGCGTCTATGCGATGCATTTAAAACATCCTCCAGCCGTAATTCTAACCACACTCGCTCGCTTCGTATACAGGAGGTCGTGGGTTCGATCCCGACCCTGACGCCTGAATATTTCGAGTTTGCGTGTCTCTCTCTCCCCGTGGTACCGTGGACTTTTCTCCGGATCCTCCGGTTTTTCCCTCCACATTTAGAATCAACATGCGTTTAGATTATTTGGCTGCTATATATTTCCACATAAGCCACTTCGTTCAGCTATCATTTGTAATAGCCAGGTCGCTTCCGAAGAAGAGAAATACAGCTCAGTGAGCCTGACCTGGTAAAAAAAAAAGAGTTTCAGTGTTTTTAAAGACGGCCTGCGAAGTTCAAATCACGCGGAACAGTCGCCGTGTGGATGTCGTACATCGTCTCAATGTGACAGCATCTCACAACGTTGCTTAGCGGAGAGAGAGGCAGTCGGCCATAGGCTGAGATGAGAGGGGAGAGGTAGGAGAGTGTGTGGAGGGAAGTAGAGTGAGATGGGAGAGGTAGGAGAGTGTGTTGAGGGGAGTAGAGTGAGATGAGGGGGGAGAGGTAGGAGAGTGCGTGGAGGGGAGTAGAGTGAGACAAGAGGGGAGAGGTAGGAGAGTGCGTGGAGGGGAGTAGAGTGAGACAAGAGGGGAGAGGTAGGAGAGTGCGTGGAGGGAAGTAGAGTGAGACGAGAGGTGAGAGGCAGGAGAGTGCGTGGAGGGGAGTAGAGTGAGATGAGAGAGGTAGGAGAGTGCGTGGAGGGGAGTGGAGTGAGATGAGAGGGGAGAGGTAGGAGAGTGCGTGGAGGGGAGTAGAGTGAGATGAGAGGGGAGAGGTAGAAGAGTGCGTGGAGGGGAGTAGAGTGAGATGAGAGGTGATCGCATGTTTAGTTTCACTCTCATCACACTGAACTCCACCGACTCCCGAGTGGGTGTTCCACAACGCTTCCCCCCCTCCCACCCCCCACCGCGACCGCCCCACGCCGGCTCTCTCGCGAGCAGCACCTGGACGGCGCCAGGCGGTCCGCGTAGAGCCCCCTCCACACCGGCAGCGCCTCCGCAGCGCCGCTCGCCAGCCCCTCCACCAGGCAGCCCAGCAGCTCCCGCGCCTGCACCGAGCCGCGCGCCGTCGCGGCCAGGCGCGCCAGCAGCACGGGGAGGGCGCGAGGCGGCGCGGCGTCGGGGCAGCCCCGCAGCACCAGCTCCTTCAAGCGTGGGTAGACCACCTGCAGCTGCTTCTGCGCCCTGCGGGTGCGGAGAGCGAGGAGGAGGGGGTGGAGGAGGTGGGACGGGAGGAGGGAGGGAGGTCAGCGTGGTGGGGAGGAGGAGGTGTGCTGCATCAATGCCCGTGTGAGCAGGAGGGAACACGGACTACTCCGCGTGCCCCAACAACACGAGGGTCAAGGGGACATTGCTCACCCGGGGGCCAGCGCCGTGCTCGGAGACGCAAACGCCAGCTCGAGCAGCGAGAGGAACTGCTCCAGGGTCACGATCCCGAAGCCGCTGCTCAGGTTCCCGTGAGCGCTGCGCACCGCACGGAGAGAGACACGGTAGGGGGGGGGGGGACAGGCAGATCCGGGGTGAACTACGGTTGCGACCGTGCCGTTGGTAACGAATTACAGGTGGCGACACGCAACGGCGGTGCGGCAGCGGGGACTCACTGCAGCAGGTGGTGGAGGCTGCCGATGACGTAGGCCGAGTACGGCTTCATCTGGATCAGGGGCAGGAAGGCTTCCACCCACACTGCGGGGCAATGTGCGACAACGACGACAACCACCGTGACGACGATGAGCAATCGACCGGCTCTGTTGATGTGTTCAGCGACAGGCCACGGCACCGCATAACATTGGGCAACCCCCCCCAAAAGGATTCGACGGTGGACTTACGGCACCTCGCTCCACGCTGCCTGTGGAGCGACCGCCGTCTGGCTCGACAAGACGAGCGGACGGTTCCGAACGACAATTATAAGAATGCGTTGATGTTTGGTCTCACCTCGAAGTCCAACGGCCAGGTCGTGCTCCCCACTCTGGTTCAGAGCCCACAGCAGCGAGAGGCACTTGTTCGTTTTGTTGACGGACGCGTTGAGAAGCTTCAGGTTCTGCGGGGGAAGACACGACGGGGGTGGGGCGAGCTCAGAGATGGAGCGGCGTCATACTGACGGTGCGCGAGGTGGCAGAGCCAGAGGCTTTAAAAGAGCCCTTCATATTGAAGACCGACGCGTGTTTGTATGTATGCGTGTGTGTGTGTGCGAGTGAGGAGCCGTAGTGCAATGGTTAGTGGGCTGCGTTACGAATCCGGCGACCCACGTTCGATTTCAGCCCTTAAGACCAACACATCGTTGACTAATATCGGAAATATTTTTGGGTCTTAGGGTAAAGTCACGTAGATAGGTTATTTTCTTTGAACCTATCTACGTGACTTTACCGAAAGACCCAAGAATATGAATTCCTGCAGTCACGAAAGCTTTAAGTCAAGATTTAATATCTTAAATTTTCCTGGGCCTCCACTAGGTCGACTCGGCCCCAAATCAGTATCTGCTACGATGTGTAAAACTTTCCCACTGGGGAGACAAAGGTGGCCGGGCGTCGTGTTGGCCACCCACTCCCTTGTGTGCCATGCCGGCCTTAATAGGTGCTCCCTAACAGCACTTGCCCCAAAAGTCTGTTGAGGCTATATGGAGGATCTGTATCTCTGTGTGCACATGCGTGTGGGGGGAGTGATCAGCAGGACTGACTACCCGGGTTCGGTTCACGGTCGCCTACGGCTACCATCAGCGGTGCAAGTCATCAGTTGATCGGGGATTCTACTTGTATCTGTGAACTGTGTTTCACATGGGTACCCCGTACCTCCGCCATTTGCACCTCCACAACATCGGGGTACTCCGAGAGCACGAACTGCACGCACAGCCGGTAGCCGTGCACCGACTCCCCTGCAGGAACACAAAAAGCAAAGATCCCGTGTAGCCTTAGCAGACTGTTGGGGCAAGTGCCATTAGTAAGTAGCACAATATGGAGGCCTAGGGGCACAGGAGAAGGTGGATGGCCAACACCACGCCCAGCCGCTTTTCTCTCTGCCAATGTGGACATATATATACATGATATTTACACACTGCACCAGGCACTCATTTAAGGCTGAGTCGACCAATGGCTGGCCCAGGACTGGTATAGATATTTGTCACTGATGTTGGCCGTGAGTAAGAATCGTACTCGGGTTACCAGTCTCTTAGCACGATGCGCTAACCACTGCGCTACCGTTCCCCACGACAGAATAAACACACGCACGCACGTACAGCATACACACATAATACACATGGTGACGGGTGAGTGAGGCCTCAATCCAGCCTGTAGATAGATCATGGCTGATAACAATAATGATGCCGATGATGATGCCGATGATGACGATACCAATGATGATTCCGATCATGACGATGCCGATGAATATTACGTTGAAGACGATAACGACGACCAGGCGCTCACGACGATGGTGACATCAATACGACGACAAGCGACAACGACGATGAACGTCGAGGTGTCTACTACTACTACTACGACGGAGGCACCTGAGGGCTTGTCGGACTCGCGCAGCATCATGGCGAGGGAGTACTGCAGCAGCGTGCAGTGACCCCCACGGCCGCAGCGCTGCAGCAGGCCCAGCACCAAGGCTCTCAGCTCCCTCCTCGCCAGGCACAGCGGGTAGTCTGCAGGGGGTGGGGCACGGGGCATTGGCGGAGAGGTGAGGATTTGCCTCCTCGTGTTCGGCGTGTCGTTCAAGCGCCACGCCCTCGCATCATCAACGTCCCGTGCCTCTCGATCGTTTCGTCAGCCTTGTTGCGGCGGAGTAGCCCAGGGGACGCCCCGGCGGAAGTGAAGCAGTACGCCCCACGACGAGGCACTGGCCATCGTCAGTAACCCGCACCTTCGATTAGCACGGTTGGCTACGTACGGTGCGAAAGAAATTCAACGTACGTGCAACATACACATACGTAAGCCTCGCGTTATGTTTGTGCGTGTGTGGGTACCGGAGGGGGATATTTCATGATGCAAGCCCCTCTCGGCAGTGACATAAGTGATTCGGCAAGACATCCTGGGACTTACGGATGTCTTGACGATTCAGAGGCTAATTAATTATATGGCGACCCATATTTAAAACTTACAACCTATTTTTATTTTACCAGGTAAGGCCCATTTAGCTAGATAGCTCTTTTTCAGAAGCGACCTGGCCACAAATGATCCCGCAATGAAGAGGCTTATCATGTGGCAATTTATAGCAGCCAAACACTCGAAAAGCATTTTTCTAAATGTGGAGGGAAAAACCTGGAGGAGCCAGAAAAAAAATTTACACGACCACAGGGAGAACATGCAACTCCAAATTATACAGCAGCAGGCATCATCAGGGTCAAGATCGAACTCACGACCTCCTGTATAACAGGCGAGGTATTAACATCTCGTCACCGTGGCGCTGTGGTAGAATAAAAGCAGACTGCGACGGAATCACCGTTCTTGCCGATATTAGCCAATCAAATGAAGGGGATGTGTCACACGACGACTCAATCCAAGTATTACTTGCCAATGGATTGCCAATGAATCGACCTTTTCAGGATGGCTGCCCCATCAACTTTGAGCGACTGCCGGATCCAATGAGCTCAATCAATACGATTAGCCTTGATTCACAAGCCAGAATTACATATATGGGCAAATCTCTGATCGGTGATTTCGTCGGGTGTCGATTTCATTGTATTACAGCGTCCAGGGGGCAAGGATTCCTTAGCGTGGGCGTAGATGTAGGGAGCGCGAGACCGTGAGGGTAGCGGCTGAGTGCGGGGTCGCTCTCGGGAGCTTGCAGCTTGAGGTTGAGGTATCCTGCGATGTCCTTCACCCAGACCGTTGGCTCGTCCATGAACATCGCCTGGGACTTGTCCAGCTGGGCTTTCATGTCCTTCAGGTCAAGCTGCGCCACACACACCGCACACACACACACACACACCACACACACCGCACACACACCACACACACACCACACACACACCACACACACACCACACACACCGCACACACACCACACACACACCACACACACACCACACACACACCACACATACACCACACACACACCACACACACACACACCACACACGCGTGAGATGACTCGCGAGAAACGAAGGCAAAATTTATGCACGTGCGTGGATTCCGTCACGCTTGCCAAACGTGCGTGTGACCGATAATAACCGTTATGCTGTCCGAACGCGTATAGATCTTAAGACAGTAAATCATCTTTGCGACAATTGCGCTTGCTGTGCATGTCATTGTTTTCACACGTTCACACATCTGAGCTTTTCACATATCTGCCTTTACCTCTCTTCGCTTCCGGGTCACATTGTCGACATTGCACTGTTCATGTAGCCTGTGAAAAAGTCCCCAGGACATGTGTGCACGTGGCAGATACCTTCCACTCTGTTTACGGACCATGACTTGTTTTCAAACTCCCCAGGTGCAGGGACTTTGGCCAAAGGGGCTCGTGTTATTGATCCAAAAGTTGGTTCACGAAGTTACATGCTGCGTCAACACTGCCGCTATTTTACCAGATGGCACTGGAGCTTGCCAACGTGGTGTGCATGTATGCGAAAAAGCTTAACACGTGTCAACTCATCGTCAGCTATGACCCATCTACTGCTGGATGAAAGGATCCCGCAACCGCTGCAACAATCCATTGAGCAACCTCCGCACAGGAGCCAATTTCGTGGCTCCATCTCTGTGACGGACGTAGCCGTTGGCCATCTAGTGGCGTGCCCTGTTCCATCCCACTTACATTTCTTCACGCTCAATACGATGCCTTCTAACCTACCTGTGTAGCTCTAAACCACGTGTGTTCCTCCTCTTTTATTTCAGTGCAATTTCAAGCGTGCAGCCTCGCCACACTTCTACGCTCACTTTTAAGCTTTTGTTCCAATCTGTGTGTCAACTACGCCCATAACAAAAAAAAACACAAAAGCCCGAGTCCTCCCCAAAGAGGAGAACGCGGCCAAGTCACCGCGGAGACGGAGCGACGAAATCCGTTCATGTGCACGAGTAAAACGGACTGTGACATAGCACGGCCGTGATTGATGGAGCCAGCAAGTGGAGGCCTTGGTCCGGCAGTGGATAGACAGCATCTTAAAATAAGTAATATTTAAAAAAACTTTTTTAAAAACACGCTTTTATGAAATGTACTAGTAATGGAAGAACTCTACGACTCCAGGAAGTGGCCCCGAAGCTTGCCATAACGTAAGAGACCGTGGCCAATTACAGCCACTGCCATCCGACACAACAGGGTTCCCGGCGGCCACTCACCGCCTTCAAAGCGTCCTCCAACGTGGCAAATCGCCCTCCCGACGGACTTGCGTCTCCGTTGGCTTTCTTGCTCTGCTTCGCCGATGCTTTCTTGACGTTCTGCTGCTGCGGCGGCGGTTGCTGAAGAGGCTGCTCCTTGGCCGACTTCTTCTCTCGGTCGAAGGCGAGCTCGAACATCGTCTCGCTGGTCTTGATGGGACCTGTGCAAGCCCAATGCATCACCAGCAGCAGCAGCAGCATCATCAGCGGGGGGATAGTTGATATGTAGGGTAATTATGGAGTCGTAGTATTCTTAGTTTCCGCAGCAATCAGACGAAGCTTTACGTTTCAAGAGGTCACCAGATTAGAGTCACCTAGTTTACAGTGAGGGCCCTACAGACACGAAAAGTTAAAGATTATTGAAACGTGTGGTCCATCAGCGGCAAACGCCGTCACGAGGGAGTTTAACGCAAAAGTGAGTCGAGGGTTTCATAGACGAGAGGGTGACTGGCAAAGCTGCCACGGCAGTGAGGAACGAGAGGGCCGAGCATATGCTCGAGTACGCAGCTGGAAATTTAAAAAATACATAAAAATAATATATCTATATACGTAGGGTTTTTTTATTTTCTAAAATAAATCTAGGAAATGTGCGTGGAGAAAACCAAATAGTGAATTTAGATCCGAGATGGCAAACTTTGTCGTAATGTGCAAGGCGTTAGTTCAAGATGCCAAAGTGGGTCCAACCACAAGTGAAAAGTCGTCGTAAAGGTGCCTCCCCTGCTCAAATGTCCGCTGGGCGGTGCTCTAATCTACGCCGGTGGTGTCAATTCCACATTGTCATGCCGAGGCGCCGGTGGGTGGACGGTACGACCACGAATACAGCGAAGCGGCCAGAATGGGGCTGCTGCGTTACGTGGCGTCTTCGTGATGTGTGGGTGATGTGTGGGTGATGTGTGCGTGATGTGTGGGTGATGTGTGCGTGATGTGTGCGTGATGTGTGAGTGATGTGTGCGTGATGTGTGGGTGATGTGTGGGTGATGTGTGCGTGATGTGTGCGTGATGTGTGGGTGATGTGTGAGTGATGTGTGAGTGATGTGTGTGTGATGTGTGGGTGATGTGTGGGTGATGTGTGAGTGATGTGTGCGTGATGTGTGCGTGATGTGTGGGTGATGTGTGCGTGATGTGTGCGTGATGTGTGGGTGATGTGTGGGTGATGTGTGCGTGATGTGTGCGTGATGTGTGGGTGATGTGTGGGTGATGTGTGCGTGATGTGTGCGTGATGTGTGCGTGATGTGTGCGTGATGTGTGCGTGATGTGTGGGTGATGTGTGCGTGATGTGTGCGTGATGTGTGGGTGATGTGTGGGTGATGTGTGCGTGATGTGTGCGTGATGTGTGGGTGATGTGTGGGTGATGTGTGCGTGATGTGTGCGTGATGTGTGGGTGATGTGTGGGTGATGTGTGTGATGTGTGGGTGATGTGTGCGTGATGTGTAGGTGATGTGTGTGTGATGTGTGCGTGATGTGTGCGTGATGTGTGGGTGATGTGTGGGTGATGTGTGTGTGATGTGTGGGTGATGTGTGGGTGATGTGTGGGTGATGTGTGCGTGATGTGTGCGTGATGTGTGCGTGATGTGTGGGTGATGTGTGCGTGATGTGTGGGTGATGTGTGGGTGATGTGTGCGTGATGTGTGGGTGATGTGTGCGTGATGTGTGCGTGATGTGTGGGTGATGTATGGGTGATGTGTGTGTGATGTGTGCGTGATGTGTGCGTGATGTGTGCGTGATGTGTGCGTGATGTGTGGGTGATGTGTGCGTGATGTGTGGGTGATGTGTGCGTGATGTGTGGGTGATGTGTGTGTGATGTGTGCGTGATGTGTGCGTGATGTGTGCGTGATGTGTGGGTGATGTGTGCGTGATGTGTGGGTGATGTGTGAGTGATGTGAGGGTGATGTGTGCGTGATGTGTGCGTGATGTGTGCGTGATGTGCGCGTGATGTGTGCGTGATGTGTGGGTGATGTGTGGGTGATGTGGGGCTTTCTCCGATCGTCCACACCGAGGCAACGACCTCTCGAGACACTCACTCACTCTCAAGACTGCAAACAATAAACAGGTAAACAACAACACCAACAGCGGGTAAACAATGAACAAATACCAAACAACACGACGATGCGGCTGCCATACGGAAGAGCTCTTGACACCAAGTTCACCCCCTCCCCACACACACTCACACACACTCACCTAACGCGTGAACAAGCAGCAGCTGAACACTACTGAACAAGTAAAACAGAATCAACACAAACTGAAAAGTGCTCAAAGAATCACGGAGCCGTGCGAGCATCGTCGGTGGCGACGTTGAGAGACAGCGAGAGAAGGGGGGACACGGATTGGAGAGACCGCTCACGGGTTGAGCGACATCGCCCCCGTTCTAGGAGGAAACTAAACTAAACAAAAAGAGCTTCATAGCTCATCGGATTCCTCACGCAGTGTAAATAAATGTGCTTGAGCGAAAAGAAGTCGTGATGGGCCCTGACGGTCGAGACCAGAAGCGGAGCGGCATTCAATGGCACGGCTTGCGGAGGCCCTTCATCCAGCAGTGGATATACCCATCGCCGCTGACGTTATTGCTGTTGACGATGGTGTTGATCGGCAAGCGCTTGTTGGTGTGTGTAGTGTTTGTTATCCACCCCCACTCTCCCGAACCTGAGATTTAGCGCGGTTGGCTACGTACGGTGCGAAGGAAGTTTGACGTACACACAACACCAACAACACCAACAACATTAACACGTAAAGCTTCGACAAATAACCGTAACGAGGGGACTGCCTCACTCACCCATCATCGGCCCCAGCGTCACGATGGCCGGGCGAGACGGCTTGCCTCTCACCCCGTTCGACTTCTTTCCCTTCACCACCTCCCACTTGCCTACTCCTCCTCCACCTCCTCCACCGCCTACGCTCGCCATCGTAACAGAGGAGAAAACAAAGACGCGCCGACCACCTAACAACAACAACAGCAGCAGCAGCCGCAAGTCAGAGGAGCAGAGCGAGAGGCGCCGTGCCGACTGCGGGTCGTGGCAACGTCAGCAGACGTTCAGAGTCGCTCGCGCCAGGCGGTGACGCGCGCAAGCAACGAAGCGGCGTCGGTCGCCATCTTGGTAGGGGAAGCCACCACTAACAACCCACCCACCGCTGCCTGTGAGGTCACTCAGTTGCCCCCCCCCGCAAGCCCCTCGATTGCTTTGGCGGGTTGGGTCCCTTACTAAGATGGCGATTGTAGGGTTACTGGATGGCGCGGGCTGTGACGTAGGGTGTTACACATGATTATATTATTATTTTTATTCGTAGTTTGCCACGTTTGTTAAACTAAATACCCACCGGTGTATTAAGGGGCTGTCCATAAATGACGTCACGCGCCTAGGAGGGGACGGGTCAGACATTTGTGACGATGTGTGACGAGGGTGGGGGGGGGTTGAGAAATATGACGTCACATCAAAATGCGCAACTTTAAATACATATAGGCAACACGTTCTACTTAATTAAAGACTTTTTAATAAATGTTTTCTCCTACAACATCAGAGTGAAGCGTGTTTCATTGGGGGGGGGCAAAAATCGTCCAAAATCGCGTGACGTCATTTATGGACGGCCCTTGTACAGAGTTGCGAAAATCAGGACATAAAGGGTTATATTATTTATTTTAACACTGGCATTGAATCTTGTAATTGTTTATTCTATAAGATAAACTTTTTTTTTAATCAAGATTAAACGTCTATTTTTTTTCTTCTCCATTATCAGATGACATTTAAAAGTTGAACGAAAATTTCACAGAACAATTGATGAATGTTTTAAGATCACACCTGTATACCTGTAATCTTTAAAAAAAAGTTATAGATTAATTTCAAAAGATAATAATTCATGGCTGCACGAATGTGAGTCAGTTCGAACATGTTAAAACAAATAGAACATGATGCAGAGCCACCACGAGAGGGCAACGCAGTCAACATTGAGTCTGCAGCAGGGCCAAAGCAGCAGCAGTCGTCAACATGAGCCATGGTCGTTCCACTGCTGAATGAAGCAGGCCTGCCCAAGCCGCCACCGACACCTCTCAAGATCTTGCGGTGCGACAATCGATCCGGCGCCTCCACACGAAAACTCATTTCAAAGCCCCTGTCCACTCGTTACTAAATGTAACAATGTTAAATGCGACGGCCAGGAACATTAAAACTAAAATTATGCGTCTGCACATTATAAGTTTGACAAGGGCCCCCATCGGAACGAGTGGGGAACTGTTGAAGGAAGCAATAAATTGAATAACGTTAAAAGAATTTATGGAAAAAAATGGGTAGGCCCCTGCGAGATTTGAACTCGCGACCCCTGGTTTACAAGACCAGTGCTCTAACCCCTGAGCTAAGGAGCCGCTCACACACGCGGCTTCCGCAGGGCCACTTATGAATCCTACAACGAACGTGTGAACACGTGGAGGAAAAAACACACAGCTTGTCAACGTTCCCGTACCGTGCCAGGCTGAATGATATCTGGAACGAATTGAATGGATGAAGGATGGTTGTTGGTCGGTGAGTGAATGGTTGGCGGGCCGGCGGCTTGTGGCTTCCTCTCGTGTGGTCTGAAACGCGGAATTTGAGTTGACCGCCTCCTATAGGCCACGTGGCTTCATAGCAGCACCAATGCTGAATAATCCCTCTGGGTTTAATCTTCCACGAAACTGCTCAGAGTCCACCCACAGCCGCATCCACTGCACACAACACCCTGGCAGCAGATGCGGTGATACCTGACGATGCACAAATGGAACAAAAATTAAATAAAGCCTCTCTAGTAGCGGTTAAATTTCGATTGAAAGCTTTCGTGACTGCCGGGATTCATCTTCTTGGTTCTTTCGGTAAAGTCACGTAGAAGGGAAATAATAAAATATTAAAAATAAAATACAATTCTCACGACGTTTCGGCCACAACGCAAGCGTCTGAATGACGCTGTCTTTCCGACAGACCTGTTCTTCACCTGAGGACGGCTGCTTGCGTTGAGGCCGAAACGTCGTGAGAATTATTTTATTATGTTTTATTTTTATTATTTTATTATTTCCCTTCTACGTGACTTCACCGAAAGAACCAAGAAGATTAATCCCTGCAGTCACGAAAGCTTTAAATCAAAAAATCACTGTCATGGTCACCAAAGCAAAGTTTGTGGAGAATAATATTCACTTTCTGTACTTTTGAGGCATAAGCAATTAGGAAATAGCACTTGTTACCCAGGAGCATATAAACTGTTACACAGTGCAATCGTCACCGATGTTGGCCGTGAGCGCGCTAACCGCTCCACCTCCACTCCCCACAAGCGCACAATGCACTCACACGTACACACACAACACCCACACGCACCGCACGTCCACTCTTTAACTCGAGCACAATGCGATGCTGCTGACAATTGATCCGTTTTCGCTCCGGGTAATTCGCGGTTCCGTCAACGCAACGTGGTGCGGACGTTCCGCACTCAGATCCACTTTCCTGCACGGTATCCGTTCCGCACCAGCCACCGCCCCATCTATAATCGCAGTCGCAACCTCTGTCTCGTGGCCCAGCGACGGGGCCGCAGTGGTTTTGGGTTTTTTTTGTTGTTGCTGCTGCCGGAGGTTGTGTAACGGGACTGGGTTGGACTTTCGGCGCGACCCGTCGCCGGACACACGAGACGCCAAATTCTACGGTCCGAACATCCGAGCGAGCTGGCACGCAGCGGTGGGCATTTCGCATTCCTGTTCGTGTGCAATTGTGCAGACACCGGGGAGGGGCGGGGCTGCCCCCCCCCCCCTCTGTTTCCGTGCAAAGGGCACACTCGTGCGTCTACGCAGTCGCAGATCCAGAGGGGGGTGAAGCGGGGTAGCTGCCCCCCTACTCATTGACATGTCTGAACCCCCCCCCCCCCCACTCGGGGTGTCTTAATTCGCCTGTCTCGAGGTCTCTCTATGCGCCTGCCTGTGAGTCTGTTGATGCGTCTGTGGGTCTGTCTATGAGTCTCTCTGTGGGTTTGTCTGTGGGTCTCTCTGCGGGTCTCTCTGTGGGTCTCTCCGTGGGTCTCTCTGTGGGTCTCTCTGTGGGTCTCTCCGTGGGTCTCTCTGTGGGTCTGTCTGTGGGTCTCTCTGTGGGTCTGTCTGTCTCTCTGTGGGTTTGTCTGTGGGTCTCTCTGTGAGTCTGTCTGTGGGTCTCTCTGTGGGTCTCTCCGTGGGTCTGTCTGTTGGTTTCTCTGTGGGTCTGTCTGTGGGTCTCTCTCCGTGCTTTGGTCTCGACAACGCTTGGGGTCTCGCTACAAGGCAACGTGGGTTTGTAATCGCGTCTTGAAGGCGTGGGGGTCTCAAACTCCACGCGTTGCGCCTCTCGCTCAGTGCGTTCTCTGCTCGCATCAAAATCTGACGTTCACGACAAGGGTGGAGGGTGGTGGGTGGGTGGTGGATGGGGTCAGTGGGATCGGGGGGCCTTCCAAGTAGATTTTAATCTCACCAAGTGGGAGAACTCGAGAGACGCAGGAATGAGCCCCATGTCTAAGTGACCCCTGTCACCCAAAAAACAACGACGCGCAAAGAGAAATGGGAGCAAAACTTAAAAAAAAACCTGCGACTTTTGGTTTGGGTGGCTAAGTAATGGTTGTCTCAAGGCCGTGACGGGCGGCGTGCGGTCGAGACGAGTGTCGGAGTTGCAGCCAACGGAGGGGAACGCGCCGGGAGAGATGGCAGCGGTGGTGTCGGCTCGTGTGCCCGGAGCCGAGTGCCTCTCTTGTTAACATCGCCGGACTGCGGGGAGGAAAGAGAACGCCTTCATCCAGCAGTGGAGAGATCACGGCTTAACGACGGTGATGATGATGATGAATATTGCTCCTGGGCTGACTGGTGAGACGAAATGAATATGCATGTGCGGAGACAGAATGCAATAATATTTAATTTTATTGAATTGCATGATGTGTTTACAATTAAACCCGCTCGCAGCGGAATCCGTGCGAGAGGTCAACGTGGGAGAGCGGGTGGCGACCGGGACTCGGGAATCGTTCAACTCCTCGCTCCAATCAAATTCTCGTTCCGATCAACTCCTCGGTGATTCAAAAGGGTAAAGGAGCATCCCCTGCACGTTCCTGCTCGCGCCAACTGCTGACGGAAGTGGCCTCCACCAGAGGAGAGCCTCCTTAGAAGCGCTACCCTCCTCCGCGCTGGAGTACTCACACTTTACCCCACCACGCGCCATCGATACCGATCGATTAACTGCGGTGAGCCGAATTGTGTACCGCCCGGTGGGATTTCAGGTGTTTGGGGGGGCTATGAACAGAGAATGAGTGAATACTAGGAGAAGCCGGTTCCTGCTCGGTACAACGCACTTGAGTGCTGTGGAAAGCCATAATATTTTGAGAGCGTTGGTCCTGAATCAACACTTTGGATAGGTAAATGACTGTCGATTTAAAAAAAAAAATTAAACGAGGGGCATCAGAACAATAATTTATTCTCATCAAGGCCCCATCGCGTAATCAAGTGCAGTCACCAACTCTTAATCCCTCTTCTGGCCTCTCTGTTTCATATGCTATGACGAAGATCCATTGCCCGAAACGTCGTCTGTTATACATTTTAACCTTTCTTTTTTGAACCGCGCTGTTATTGACGAACGTGGTGGTATCGTTTGCTACGCGCGTGTGTTGACGCTTGCTGCGACTTGCATGCTCAGCTGTTCGCGTGTTTGCGTTCCGCACAGCCGACCAAGGGAGGTGAAGTTGATGTTACGTGGCCTCACTGATTGGCCACTGATGCAGAGGGCGATGATAGTGGCCGCGGTAGAAACGTCATTTTTTTTTATCCACGCATGAACTGCCCGTGCCCTTTGAAAAGAAAAAGAGATGCGACACGTTGGCTCGAATATTTTCTCACGAACTTTCAGGTGAGTCCATAGCCGTCGCATCACTGTAACTACACGTGGATATATTTATCGCCACTGCGACATGTCACGCAGTCAAACGTGGAAACATTAAATTTTTCGTGATGGATTTCTCTCTTTTTTTGGGGGGGTGGGGGGCAATGGATGGACCATCCGGAAGGCGCCACGTCTTGTCGCATATCGAAATCACCCGCAGGGTCGAACCGAGATTTGACGGTCGTGCCAGACGAGTACATTTAACACCTACTGCTTTCCCGACCCAATATTTTAACAGATAATTTTGTAAAGTTTCTTCATTGGGCTATGTCGCTGAAATGTGCCGTAGACCCACCTCCAATCGACACGGCCAATTAAGATCCTGCTGCTGCTGCTGCTGATGCTGCTGTCTGTTTATTTTGGTGGTTGACATCCAACCGCCGGTGAGGATGCGAGAAGAGTAAATGCATCGCCACGTTCTGTTCACGTGACGCTCCTTGCTGATCGGCTGTGTCGGGTGGAGATGGTTCCGGCACATTCACACGGACGCGATCTCTAAAACAACCCACAAGAAACAAAGCACTTCATCATGAACCGCACAAACGTGTTTGTCCAGAAGCGTTTACACAGTGAGTGGGCGTGGGCGTTACATCAACTAGAAAAAAAAATCTTTTTACCAAGTAAGGCCCACTCAGCTATACGGCCCTTGTTCAGAATTGACCAGGCTATCACAAATGATAGCTCGACAAAGAGGCTTATCATAGTGTGGAAATGCATAGCAGCAGCCACATACTCGAGACGCACAGTGATTCTAAACGCGGAGGGGAAAAACCGGAGGACCCGGAGAAAAATCCACGTGACCACGGGGAGAGAGAGACACAAAACTCCAAATATACAGCAGCAGCAGGCGTCGTCAGGGTCGGGATCGAACCCACGTCTCCGCCATACCAGGCGCCGCTGGTAGGCAATACAACCCATTGTTGTACGGTACCATGCCCCCACGTCTATGCCCCCCACCGCCTTCACACACCCGCGTACTGACGAGCGTGGTGAAGTATGGTCAACATCTAGTAGCAGATTGCCAATAGTTCTGTGCGTGCATGTACATGGAGCCCCTCTGCTTCGGCTGTGACTAAACATAAGCATTGGTTGATATAATTTGTGTTTCCAACTAAATGTGTTTTATCATTCGCAACGATGCCTTGCCACCTTTGTACTCCCAGTGCTGATGTGGCATCATACACCACGGCAGCTACTCGCTTTAACCATGCGGATGCCCAGTCATCATGTCCATATCTCACTGAGCCACTAATGTTTGCCGTGGGCGGGAATCGAACTTCGGCTGGGCTGACCCGCCAATAAATATTCACGCGGGCCTCTTGCCAATTCGCTTCACTGCTGGATTAAGACCTCCCCCACCCCTCCCTCCCCCACGGCCAAATCGGTGGCGGAGCGTTGCTTGACCATACTTCATCATTCAGGCTGGTGGGAGCGGTGGGAGCGGCGGCGGTGGTGGAGAGGAGGGGGGAGACGGAGATCCGATTTCACATCAGAAATAACTCGCCACTCATGTTCGCCGCGACTGACGATCAATCTCGCTTCGGGTCGCTGGGTTTCACAGCGCAGCGCGTTAACCACTGCGCCACCGTTCCCACCACCGCCACCGCCGCAATAATCTGTCGGACTCTTGCACAATTCTCTTCCAATAAACGGGGCCTCGTGGCAAGGGAGGGGGGCGGATTCGTGCTCAGCCGCTTGCCACCGTTCCTCTCTCCGCCTTCGGGGTTGGCTGTCATTCATTAATTCCCTCGGCAAAAGTAAACACAATAAATAACTCGCATGAGTAAATAAACAAACGCCGGCGCGTTCATCGCCCGCTCGTTCTCGGACTCGCTCCTCTTCGACCGCGACTCGCCGCGCGTGCTGCCCACGTGGACTCCACACGGACTGCGACTCGCCTGCAGGTACTAGAGGACTCAGCCGCTCGAGGAATCGCTCCGTGGCATTTGAGAGAACTCCCAACAGGGACTCGCATGGGAACTCGAAGATACAAGGAACTCAGAGAATCAGAATCGAGGAATCGGACTCGAAGGTTCGTAGGCTGATCGCACAACGAGCGAGGTGGTGATTCAAGGCACCCCCCCTAGAGTCAAGGACTCACGGACTCGGGGATTGAAGGACTCGGCGGTTTCAAGACTCGGAGCTTCAGAGGCTCTCACTTGGTACTCGGGATCCGACTCAAGACTCGAGGAATCCGGTACCCAGGGAATCGGGATTTTCGGCCTGAGGGACCTTTGAGACTCGAGAGACACGTGGACCGAGATACTCGTAAGAGACGCGGGGACTCTGAGATTTTGGGGATTGGAGAAATCCGGGACTCCAGAGCAAGATATCGATTTGACGCGCGGGGTGACGGAGTGCGGAACGCAGTGGCCACACAGCACAGACTGAGGAGGTGAGGTGCGTGCGCGGGTTCTCACAATCATCGTCAGCAGCAGAATCATTGTCAGCAGCACAATCATCGTCAGCAGCAGAATCATCATCAGCAGAATCATCGTCAGCAGCAGAATCATCGTCAGCAGCAGAATCATCATCAGCAGAATCATCGTCAGCAGCACAATCATCGTCAGCAGCAGAATCATCAGCAGCAGCAGAATCATCGTCAGCAGCAGAATCATCATCAGCAGAATCATCGTCAGCAGCACAATCATCGTCAGCAGCAGAATCATCAGCAGCAGCAGAATCATCGTCAGCAGCAGAATCATCATCAGCAGAATCATCGTCAGCAGAATCATCATCGTCAGCATCCGTTATAAGCACACACACAGACTACACGCAGAGTCATAGTCGGAATATTTAACTATACTGGAGGAATCCGATGAGCTATGAAGCTATTTTTGTTCACAGATGTCCAGTTAAATTATGCTGTGACCAAAGGTGAGCTGCAGCTCGACGATGGATTAACGTAATCAGCTGTCGTGTAGCGGTGTGTTCACACTCGACTGGTGACGCTGTAGTGCTCGGTTCGATTCGATCTCCTGGCGCGGCAGTTTAAATCCCCCCCCCCTTTCTGTCCACCCAGCAGTATAAATGATAACCGGGTCGCCACAGGCGAAGGGGAAGTTCTAGTAGGCCGTGGGGTCAGGGTCCGCTGGGTCACGTGTGCTGGGTCAGGGTGCGCTGGGTCACGTGTGCTGGGTCAGGGCGTGCTGGGTCAGGGCGTGCTGGGTCAGGGTGCGCTGGGTCACGTGTGCTGGGTCAGGGTCCGCTGGGACACGTGTGCTGGGTCAGGGGGCGTGCTGGGTCAGGGTGCGCTGGGTCACGTGTGCTGGGTCAGGGTGCGCTGGGTCACGTGTGCTGGGTCAGGGTGTGCCGGGTCAGGGCGTGCTGGGCACGCACACGAGAGACGCTTCACCAGGGGGACTCGAGCTGCCCCTGGTGGAGGCGATTGCGCCACCAGGAGGCACTTGCGGGGCTGCGCCTTCACCGCCATACGCTCGTGCCCTTTGCAGAGTCGTCGTCGTATCTGCAATGTTAACGCTGCTCCGGAGAAAAACCCACGGGGAGAGAGAGAGAGAGACGCGCAAACTCCAAATACAGGGGGAGTTCAAGCAAATGTTGAACACTTTTGAGAATTTGCAACAATGCCACGAGAAATGTGCATCCGGGCTCTGGAGACCACCTGAGGAAGATTCCAGGCACGCGTTGACAACGATGGCGAACAAATGGAGACTCTTCCACTTTTTGAAGCTATTAGCATTACATTTGTTCTAGATTTGAAGCTTTCGTTGCGCCCGAAACGTCGTGATTTATTTTATTTTATACCTACGTGACTTTACCGAAAGAACCAAAGAGTTATTACATTTGTTATCATACCTACGGTGTATTATCCGTTGCTATTTCCCCCCCTTAAAAACGACAGCCCCACGTAAGCGTTAACAAGTTTATTTTGGTTTGTTTTGGTTTGTTTGTTTAAAGCACCCTGCACACACAGCGAGGCGTCGTCACGCTCGGTGATCGAACCCACGGTGGTTGACACGACCGCTCTTGTGACGCCGCAGCCGTCGATGGCGATCCTCCCTGGCTGGGAAATGACGGAGACGGGTGGCCCCGCAGAGCCCCGCGACCTGCCCAACGAGCACCCGGTGGTGAGGGCCCGCGTGCGGGAGCTACGTAGCCTCGCCCTGCGAGACCTCCCCAGTGCCCCCATCTGCCTCGCCGACGACTTCCTGATGGCGTTCGTGCGTGCCCGTGACCTCGACTGTGCGCAAGCCTTCCAGGTCAGTTGCTCGATACTCCGTCCGTGCCAAGTGCGTGCCAGGTGCGTGCCAGGTGCGTGCCAGGTCCGTGCCAGGTGCGTGCCAGGTGCGTGCCAGGTGCGTGCCAGGTCCGTGCCAGGTGCGTGCCAGGTGCGTGCCAGGTCCGTGCCAGGTGCGTGCCAGGTGCGTGCCAGGTGCGTGCCAGGTCCGTGCCAGGTGCGTGCCAGATGCGTGCCAGGTCCGTGCCAGGTGCGTGCCAGCTGCGTGCCAGCTGCGTGCCAGCTGCGTGCCAGGTGTTATGAGTGTGTAGGGAGCGGTAGTGTAGCGGTTAGCGCGCTGCGCTACGAACCCGGCGGCCTGGGTTCGATTAAAGATCACTGCACGGCCAACACCGGTGACGATGATTTGAACCGGTCCTGGGCCTCCCCTAGGTCGACTCGATCTCACGCGAGTACTCGGTGTGCTGTGTAAACATCGCCACTGGGGAGACAAAGGCGGCCGGGCGTGGTGCTGGCCACCCACCCCCTCGTGTGCCGTTCCGGCCTTCATAGGTGCTGCTCGCTAACGGCACTTGCCCCTACAGTCTGTTAAGGCTATACGGGGGATCTTTGTCTGTGGTGGTGGTTGGTGGTTGGTGGCGTTGGCGAGCTGACGGCTCTGAGCACCCCCCTGGTGATATTGACACTGCACGTGACCGGGACGAGGCACGGTTAAAAGCTGCACCCATTGACACTGGCAGTGGGCACGCGGGCGATCTGCAAAGTGTACCCAGAAGTGTGGAACGGAGTTCGAGATCATCATCATCATCATCCTCATCACTGTAGCGGTGACGATGATTTTGATGTTGACAAATCTGCTGCTTATGAGGCGAGTGATGATGGTGGTGATGTTACTGCTGATGATGATGGTGGTGATGATGTTACTGCTGATGATGATGTTAATGCTACTGCTGATGGTGGTGCTGATGTTACTGCTGATGATGATGATGATACTGCTGATGATGGTGTTGATGTTTATGATGATGATGGTTTTGATGTTACTGCTGATGATGATGTTGTGTTACTGCTGATGATGGTGGTGTTGATGTTGTTGCTGATGATGATGTTACTGCTGATGATGGTGGTGTTGATGCTACTCCTGATGATGATGATAATGATACTGCTGATGCTACTCATGATGCTGCTGATGCTGATACTGCTGCTGCTGATGATGTAGACGCTGAGGCATTCCCACCGGTGGAGCGAGGAGTTTCAAGTCTGCAGCAGGTCACGAACGTCGCCTCCGTGTCTCTCTTCTCTCGCTGCTGCTCATCTTGCTCCTTCTACCTCCACGACTTGCTGCTCTCACGAGCCTCACTCGTTAAACCTGCTGATTTTGCTTCGTCTGCTGCCTGCTGATGATGATGATGCTGATGATGATGCTGATTACGATGTCGTGTGTGCTGTTGATACTCATTATTGTGCTGCTGCTGATCACGCTGCTCGTGTTGATTCTGCGGCTGATGATGATGATGATGAGGTTCATGATGATGATGCTGCTGCTGCTGTTGTCTAGCCATCGGACAAAGACGGTCACAGGATCGCGCGCTTCCAGATGCGCTTCTGCGGCCGTCTGGAACGCTCTTCGTTCCGATATTATGAAGCCACTGGAGCTATGCACTTTTAAAATCCAGGGTGAACACTAATTTCTTTAGAACTGCTTCTCGTGTTTGGTTTGCTGTGCTTCCCCGCACCTCCCATTAGCACCGTTGACTACGTACGGTGCGGAAGAATTTCAACATTCATGTTGATTCTGCTGCTTCTGATGATGATGACGGTGGTGGTGATGATGATGACGCTGCTTGTGATGATGACGGTGGTGATGATGATGCTGCTTCTGATGATGATGACGGTGGTGATGATGATGCTGCTTCTGATGATGACGGTGGTGATCATGATGCTACTTGTGATTATCATGACGGTGGTGATGATGATGCTGCTTCTGATGATGATGACGGTGATGATGATGCTGCTTGTGATGATGATGATGGTGGTGATGATGATGCTGCTTCTGATGATGATGGTGATGATGCAGCTGCTGTTGCTTCTGATAATGGTGGTGGTGGTGATGATAATGATGGTGATGATGGTGGTAATGATAATGGTGGTGGTGGTGGTGATGTTGATTGCAGCTGCTGAGGAATTACCACCGCTGGAGGGAGGAGTGCTCGGAGCTCGTTGGGGACCTGCGCCCGGGTCCACTGCTGCCGCTGCTGGCGCGGGGCTACCACGGGGCGCTGGCGCGGCCCGACACGCACGGCCGCACGGTGCTGCTCTACCGCGTCGGTGCGGCTCACGGCCAGCGGCAGCAGCAGCACCAGCAGCAGCAGCACCAGCAGCAGCAGCACCAGCAACAGCAGCAGCTGCAGGATAATTAGCGTCAGCAGTAGCAGCAGCGTCAGCATCATCATCAGCACCAGCAGCGTCATCAGCAGCAGCACCAGCAGCAGGAGCAGGAGCATTAGCGTCAGCAGTAGCAGCACCAGCAGCAGCACCAGCAGCGTCATCAGCAGCACCAGCAGCGTCATCAGCAACAGCAGCGTCATCAGCAACAGCAGGAGTAGCAGCAGCAGGAACAGCAGCAGTAGTAGTAGCAGCATCACCAGCAGGAGCATTAGCTTCAGCAGCACCAGCAGCAGGAGTAGCAGGAGCAGGAGCATTAGCGTCAGCAGTAGCAGCAGCATCATCAGCAGCACCAGCAGCAGCATCATCGGCAGGAGCATTAGCTTCAGCAGCAGTAGCAGCAGGAGTAGCAGGAGCAGCAGCGTCAGCAGTAGCAGCAGCAGCAGGCGGAGCAGCCGCAGTAGGAGTAGCAGCCGCAGTAGGAGTAGCAGCAGGAGGAACAGCAGCAGTAGTAGTAGCAGCAGCATCATCAACAGGAGCATTATCTTCAGCAGTAGCAGCAGTAGTAGTAGTAGCAGTATCATCATCAGCAGAAGCAGCAGCAGGAACAGCAGCAGTCGTAGCACCAGCAGCAGTAGCAGCATGAAAGAAGCAACATCGTCATCAGTAGCAGCGGTAACAGCACCAGCGCCTGTATCAGAAGTAGCAGTAGCAGGATCAGAAGTAGTAGCAGCAGTAGCAGCAGCAGCATAATCAACAGCAGCAGTAGTAGCAGCATCAGCAGTAGCAACAGCGTCATCATCAGAAGTAGCAGAATCAGCAGTAGTACTACTAGTAGCAGCAGTATCATCATCATAAGTAACATCAATATCAGCAGCAGTAGCAGCACTAGTATTAGCAGCGTCAGCATCATCACCTGTCTGATCAGTATCAGCAGTGGTATCATTGTCATAAAGTTATATATAGATGAGAACAAATCGATTCTTAATCTGCTGACCTTCGAGCTAAACTGATGCATTCATTACGCGCCAGTCAATGATTGTATGGGTAAACATCTTCGTGGCGTTTATAGACGATCACTGGTTTCAACATTCAGTGTATCATCTGCAGCAAAGTCGGGCTTGGCTTGAATCAACGCTGGCCTGATGTTCATAGACTTGGACTGGTTTCGCCTTTCAGTGTATCATCAGCAGCAGAGTCGGGCTGCCCGATGTTCACGATGCGTGGCCGCTCGCCGCCCTAACGCCACGGGTGGCGTGGGCTCGCGGTGTTGTCGTGTGGCACAGACCGCTGGGACCCCAAGGTGCACTCTGCCACGGAGGTGTTCCGCGTGAGCCTCCTCACCTCGGAGCTGCTGGCGCGGGACGCGCGCACGCAGCTACGCGGCGTCACCGTCATCTTCGACCTGCGGGGCCTCCGCTTCGGACACGTGGCCCGCGTGGGCCCCACCATGGCGCGCCGAATCGCCAGCGTCCTCACGGTGTGCGCGTGTGTCCCGTGTGTGTGCGTGGTGTCTGATTTTATTGTATTTACTCGCTCACGTTCCTTTCTCCGTTGCGTTAACCGGTAACCGCGTTACAATGGGGACGGTCAGAAAATATATTTGCACAGCCGGATGAACGCGGTGAGCTCGACAAGACTGTTTCCAAGTTTTGCCAGCTTTGTGGAATGTGTGAAGCAAGCAAATGTCTACCAGTACACGCGGCGTGGTTGGTTTGACCTTCTCGTGACCCTGGACAAACGAGGGCAGCATCTGCCACGGTGGAGTGATGATGATGATGGTGATGGTCAGCAATACCCCTGGAATTGCAATTTGGAGGGGGTTGGTTCGATGCAATTTCCCGGAGCGGCAGTTGAAACATCTTCGTCCCCCGCGCCGCCCACCATCGTTAATCCATCGGCGGGGTGCCGCGTGCGGGTGGGGTAAAGTGTGGTCACTCCCACCTCGCTCCGACGAAAGTTCCACGTGAAACGATGACTGACTTTCCGGAGATTTGTTTCTGTAATCGTCATCGCGTCGGTATGCCTCCCGCGATGCGCCGTGGCCTGGGTCTAACCCAGGGAGCGTGTGTGTGTCGTGGTGTGGACAGGACTCCTTCCCCATCAAGGTGCGCTCCATACACCTGCTCAACACGCCGCTCATCTTCAAGTCGCTCTTCGCCATCATCCGGCCCTTCCTGTCGGAGAAGATGTACTCGCGGGTGACGACACACACACACCAGACTCTCAGGGCACCACCATCAGCATCATCACCATCATCACCATCATCATCTTTACCATCATTACCATCATAATCATCATAATCATCACCATCAAAATCATCATCATTGTCTTTACCATAATCATTATCATTACCATGATAATCATCAAGATCATCACCATAATATTCCTCATCATCACCATAATAACCATCACCATGATAATCATCATCGCCACCACCACCACCGTCACTCTCATTGTCACAGTCATCGTCACAAACATCTTCACCATTGTCACTACGGCCGTGGGCGGTGACGTGGTCCACGATTACAATTGCACACACCCACCCACCTCACCCACCCGCACACAACAAAACACCCACGCACCCCACTCCCACGCACCCACCCACGCGTGGCAGGACCCTCCTGAGAAATGGTCACGAGACTCTGCGACCCTCCGCAGATCAACGTGCACAGCGGCGACGCTCCACGGAGCCTCGTGGAGGAGGTGGGGCTCTCCGTGATGCCCGCCGAGCTCGGCGGAGAGGGCCCCAGCGTGGAGGAGGTGTGCGCCGAGTGGACGCGGGTGCTGCTGGGCTCCGAGATGGAGCTCCGCCGTGTGACGTCGCTCCACCACGACTCCCTGTGCCCCTGCAAGCTGCTGCTGCTCAACGACTGAGACCTCCACGAGGGGTCGAGGGGGGGGGGGGGTCGGGTGACCGTGGACGCTGCTAGGGACCACGTGGCACGCGCTGTCGCTTCCTTCCGGCTGCTTGATATGGGTGCTCAATTTTAACGACCTCAAAGTCTCATCATCATCATCGCCTGCCGCCACCACCAACGTCTCAATTGTGCTCATCCCTTAGTTTCTGAGATCTCTCCTCCTCCTCCTGATCACAACGCCTACGGAACTTTCTCCCACAGTTATGTTCCCAACCTGTTGTGTTACTCGATCCTACCACGATCTGTACAGAAGAATGGCCAACCGGCTTTTACATGTCAGCGAATTATTATGGATGAATACTACGAATAACAGTGCGTTTTGCTTTCAATTTATGTGGAATCTTATATATTTTTTAAGCAATTAAAATGGAGCAGTATCGTAAATAAATAGACCTAGCATAGGTCGGTCCATGTATAGATACATCATTGGTTTCTATTGACTCTCGTTAAACGATTGAACGTGAGGAATGAGATGGTTGGGAAAGAAGATGTTATTTTGTTTAAACTTGATTAATTCCTCCCAGTTATTTTAGTGGGGCATCTATCGTTGGAAAGGAGCGCGTCCAACAGGACGTCCACTGGGGAGATGGAGCGATAAAAGCATTACAAAAATCTGCCGCTGGCTAGGTGGACTCATATATCGCAGCAGTGGATTGACTCAAGTTGATTTTGTTTTGACGAGCTATGAACTCGGAGGAGAGGAATCTCAGTGTGCGCGAGTGACACGGGGCATTGGTCTGCTGCTAGTAGCGGGCAATGACTGATGTCGTGTGGTCTCGCCTAGGGGCACCCCTAGTGGCAGCTGTCCCTCTGCATCAGTCTGTCAGTAGGGGGCGATGACTGTTCCGTGTGCGTGTCTGCGTGATCGTGTGTTGGTGGCTCGGAGATGTGAACTCCCTCGCCTGGTTCGCAGGAGGTCGTGGGTTCGATCACGACCCTGACGCCTGCTGCTGCTGTATATTTGGAGTTTGCGTCTCTCTCCACGTGGTCGCGTGGATGTTTCTCCGGGTCGTCTGGAGTTTCCCTCCACATGTATAATCAACTTCACGCGGTTAGACTTTAGTGTATTTATCTGCGGTAAATTTCCACATGAGCGACTTATTTGAGCTTTAATTTGTGAAGGTCATGTCGCTTATCAAAAAGAGCTACGTAGCTCAGTGGGCCTTACCTGTTAAAAATAAAATAAAGGAATGAATTTTCATAATACCACGCGGCATTATTAATCGGGGCGGCCGCTGGATTCGAACCAGTAAACCACCTCTCGACGAACGCGCTACCGCTGGTGCCACGTGCCCGCACCAGTCAACCAATCAACTATATAATCGATTCTTAAGCTACCGCGTGGCTCGCGGTCGACGCGATTTCGATGCGACCTTGTATTCTGGACCAAACTGCCGCCGGGCAATAGCTGGCGCGTCAGTCCAACTCGCGAGCGACTTCCTCTGACCTTGCAGCGAAACGTGGGAATATTGGGGGGCGGGGAGGGGGGAATATTGGGGGGCGGGGAGGGGGGAATATTGGGGGGCGGGGAGGGGGGAATATTGGGGGGCGGGGAGGGGGGAATATTGGGGGGCGGGGAGGGGGGAATATTGGGGGGCGGGGAGGGGGGAATATTGGGGGGCGGGGAGGGGGGTACAAACTTCACGCTCTTAACCATCGTTTTTATCGGAGCAGCCATGACCTATCCACTGCTGGGTGAAGGCATCGGCGAAGCTGTCCGCGCCTTGCGATTTCGCCACGCGACAATCCCATCTCGCCGCCGCCAGTTTTTACCGCTCCATCTCCCCGACGGAGGTGCTAACTCTGCAGGTGCTGCGCTTTGCCGTGGAGCGCTCGGGCCGCCTCGCGTGTACGTTGTGTCGCGGATTGCGTTTTTAATGCACCGACGTAATTAAAGTATGACCTGATGATGATAAACATAATGAGAATGTAACAGCCCCTGATTTGTCAATCCACTGCTGGATGAGGTTCTCCCCTGCGCCGTGTCGAACGTGGGGGCGGGTGGTGGTGGGTGGTGGGTGGGTGGGTAGGGGGGGGTTGACCATACTTCACCACGCTGGTCAGTTCGGGTAGGCCAACACGGGGACCATTCATCAGACGTATATGTATGTGTGCATGTGTGTCTATGGGGAGCGGTTGTGTGGTGGTTTGCGCGCTGCGCTACAAACCCGGTGACCCGAGTTCGATTCCCGCTCACAGCCAACATAAGTGACAATTTTCTGAACCGGTCCTGGGCTTCCCCTAGGTCTACTCAGCCTCAAATGAGTTCCTATAGAGATATGTAAAACATTGCCAGGAGGGAGACAAAGGCGGCCGGGTGTGGTGGTGGCCACCCACCCCCTCGTGTGCCATTCCGGCCTTGGCAGGTGCTCGCTAAGAGCACTTGCCCCAACAGTCTGTCAAGGCTACACGGGGGATATTTGTCTGTGTTGGATGTGAAGGGTGGTGATTAGTTAGACATGGTGGGTGGTGGGGTGGTATTGCTTCCATCTGCTGCCAGAAACGTATTGCGGAGAGCCGGTAACACCTGGTATGCACGTTCGTGGCCACCCACCAAAGCTCCGAAGACCTGATGAGATGCCGGGTGCATTGCGGGTGATTCCATCATGGGGAGGCGTCGTGTCATGATCAGCATCATCAGCAGCTGCCACCTGACTTTTCCCCGAAGAGGCAGGATGGGGCTGCTTCATCGAGGGCGATATTGGCACGGAATAAAAATACACTCCCATTGGTTTAGATTGATTGTTGAACGGGGGGTGGGGTAAGGGGGGATGGGGGTGGGGTAAAGGGGGATGGGGGGGGTGGGGGGGTGGGGTAAGGGGGGATGGGGGGGTGGGGTAAGGGGGGATGGGGGTGGGGGGTAAGGGGGGGTGGGGGGCATAAAGGGGGGGGGTTGACTCCAGACCAAGCTGCCACAGCCACCCCGTTCGCCGTGCCACTCGATGCGTTTCGGAATTCGGCAACCGTCACTTTTATTGACAACAGCGACAACCCTCCACATCCATTCACACGCACTCAGCCCTGGTGGGAGAGGAAGGAGTTGTGGGGGGCAGAGGTTGTGGGGGGCAGAGGGTGGGGGGGGGGGTTAAATAATGTCGCGTTTCACGTTGGGTGTCAACATTGTCGATGTCTAACGGTGACCACACCGGTGGGTGGTGTTTTCATTTTATTTTTTACCCTGCGCCGATTTATCTTCACTGTCAGTGTCTGCACTTTGTCGCGCTTCTGAAAGAGTTTGCGATCGAGGCGACGCCTCTTGCCGCGAGACTCCCCATGCTGATCCGACGGCTTCTCGTCTCCTGCTTCAACACAAAAACCACCGCGCTCGGTCGGTGTCTTGACTCCTCTCTCTCTCTCTCCTCTTCTGCTCCTCTCTCTCCCCCCTGCCCCTCTCTCTCCCCCTGCCACTCTCTCTCCCCCTGCGCCTCTCTCTCCCCCCTGCCCCCATCTCTCCCCCTGCCCCTCTCCCCTGCCCCTCTCTCCCCCTGTCCCTCTCTGTCCCCCCTGCCTCTCCTCCACCCCCTGCCCCCCTCTCTCTCTCCCCTGCCCTTCTCTGCCCCTGCCCCTCTCTCTCCCTGCGCCTCTCTCTCCCCCCTGCCTCTTCTCCACCTCCTGCCCCCCTCTCTCGCCCTGCCCCTCTCCCCTGCCCCTCTCTCCCCCTGTCCCTCTCTCTCCCCCCTGCCTCTCCTCCACCCCCTGCCCCCCTCTCTCTCTCCCCTGCCCTTCTCTGCCCCTGCCCCTCTCTCTCCCTGCGCCTCTCTCTCCCCCCTGCCTCTTCTCCACCTCCTGCCCCCCTCTCTCGCCCTGCCCCTCTCCCCTGCCCCTCTCTCCCCCTGTCCCTCTCTCTCCCCCCTGCCTCTCCTCCACCCCCTGCCCCTCTCTCTCTCCCCTGCCCTTCTCTGCCCCTGCCCCTCTCTCTCCCCCTGCCCCTCTCCCCTGCCCCTCTCTCCCCCTGTCCCCCTCTCTCCCCCCTGCCTCTCCTCCACCCCCTGCCCCTCTCTCTCCCCCTGCCCCTCTCTCTCCCCCTGCCCCTCTCTCCCCCTGCCCCTCTCTCCCCCTGCCTCTCCTCCACCCCCGCGCCTCTCGCCCTGCCTGGGTCTCCAACCGCCTGGAGAACCGAAAAGTTGAAGGGCGATCAGCAAAGTGGAAAGAGGAGGAGCTGATGGGGTTTGGTGGCGAGTTCGTTGTCTCGGTGGCGAGAGCGGCTAGGGCTAGAGTGAGTGTGTGTGTGTTTGAATAGTGTGGTTAGGGTTACGGATTGCGTTTGGATAGTATTGGCAGAGTTAGGGCTGGTGTCTGGGTGACGAGTCGGGGTCAGGGTCAGTGTCTGGGTGACTAGTCAGGGTCAGTGTCTGGGTGACTAGTCAGGGTCAGTGTCTGGGTGACGAGTCGGGGTCAGTGTCTGGGTGATGAGTCAGGGTCAGGGTCAGTGTCTGGGTGACTAGTCAGGGTCAGTGTCTGGGTGACTAGTCAGGGTCAGTGTCTGGGTGACGAGTCGGGGTCAGTGTCTGGGTGACGAGTCAGGGTCAGGGTCAGTGTCTGGGTGACGAGTCGGGGTCAGGGGTAGGCACAGGGACGAGCATCTTCACCGGCTGCGTCTCCGCGCCCCACTGCACGTGCCTGCTGCTGCTGCTGCTGTCACCAAACACGCCGCTCGCCGCCCGCTCGTCACTCGCCGTGGCAACGGGGCCTGCGCCACTGACCCCATGAGCACACGCGGGCAGGGCCGTCCATGGTGGGGGGGGGGGGGTGACGGGGGTTTGGGTGGCCCCGGGCGAACCCGCAGCGTCCGTGCGGGTTCCCCTCGGGCGCCTTCAAACTCACCCCGACGTCTTCTTGGTTATTTTGGTAAAGTCACGTAGAATGGAAATAATAAAATAATAAAAATAAAACATAATAAAATTATTCTCACGACGTTTCGGCCACAACGCAAGCAGCCGTCCTCAGGAGAAGAACAGGTCTGCCATGCTACGTGACTTTACCGAAAGAACCAAGAAGATGAATCCCTGCAGTCACGAAAGAAGCTTTAAATCGAAACCCACCCCGACGTGTTACATCTGACACGACCGTGACGTCGTAGCGCGCTCACAATCCGCCACGCCCCCCCCCCCCCAAAGCGCGGGGCCCGGGGCGGTCGCCGCGATTTTCCTCTGCACGCAAGGGGACACCTCTGGGCACGACCAACGACTGCTCCCTCGACTCCGTCCGTCCTCCGTCCGCCATGGACGAAGCGGATCGACCCCAAAGCTCCTCGCGGCCGCGTCCCCGTCCCAAGCCGCTCGCTCCCGACAGGGAATTGCCAAGGCATCACTATTTGTATTCGTCTCGAGCAACATGTCAACCCGCAGTTGGACATATGCATGACAATTTACATGTCGGGCTAATAGTAGTGATCGGTTCGTCATGTGGCGAAGTCGTGTTTAACTTTAAATGTATATAGTTTAAATACGCGCGCGTGCGTGCGTGTGTGTGTGTTTTCATGTGCCTGAGATGCACTGCGCTATTAGACCCAGAGTTTGTCTGGGTTCGATTCCCGGTCACGGTGAACATCAGTGGCGAGTGAAGTCAAAAACCTGCCCCCCCTCCCCCTGGGCCCCCCCTCCCCCACGTCTTCGTCGACTTGACCTCAATTGAGTCACCTGGTGCGGCGTGTAAACAATTGCTTAACATCGGCGCTGGGTATAGAAAGACAAAGGCGGCCGGGCGTGGTTTCTTGCTGCACCACCACGTCGTAGCCTTAACAGGTGCTCGCTAACAGCACTTACTGAAATATCCTGTATGGCTATACGGTGAGAAGGGGTCTCTTGTACGTCAGACACATGGGCAGTTCGTGTCACGAACACCCCCATTACACATGGCACATCCCACAGCCACGTCTGAAACGCCATAGAATCACGGCATGTACCATTGTATGTACAGGTTGAAGGGGGGGGGGGGGTTAGGCCATGGCATTTACAATTATTATTATTAAGTAGTCCTAAGCAGGAATGCTCCCTGTGTTGCAATGGTAAGCACAATCGACTTGTAAGCCTCAAGTCACCGATTCGATCTCCTGGCGCGGCAGTTTAAACCAATGGGGGGGGGGGGGATGTTTCTTAGACCCCCCACCGCAGTCTCCTGTCCGCCCAGCCGCAGTGGTGGCACTCGCAGGCCGAGTGTGATGGGGCCGAGTGTGGGGGGGGGGGGGGGGGGGGGGGGGGGGGACCCCCAGCTCCTCCACGAGACGTCTCGCCAGCGTGAACAGGAAGTAGGCCAAAGAAAAATAAAGCCCCCCCCCCTCTCCCTGCAGCCACCCCCCCTCCCCCTGCAGCCCCCCCTCCCCCTGCAGCCCCCTCTCCCCCTGCACGCCCCCCTCTTAAGAGAGAGAAGCTCCCTCGAGTTTCTAATCGTGGATCCCCTCGTTCCAGCAGCGGCGTTTTAGACAGCACTTGCAGGGCTGCGCCTGTGCACTCACCACGACCACTCCCCCCCGCACCGCCCCCCGCTTTCTGTGCGCCTCTCTCGAATCGTCCGCGGGGAGGGTGCGTGGGGTGGTTCGGCCTCTTCATAGCACGAGGGAAGGAATTCGGCATTAATTCGGCATCCGAAGAGATTAATTACAATACCATTCCACCCACGCCGCCGCCGCCACCGCAACCTTCACCAGCAGCAGCATTGTCTATCGAATGAGTCATTACCGTCGTCATCATCATCATCATCAGCGGCAGGAGGAGCAGCGTTTGGTCAATCCATTATTGGAAGACAATCTCACCAAGCCGCCTCCATTTGTGTGATCGAGATCCAATTTCGACATGTGTCTGCTGCTGCTTTAGCTGCTGTTGTTGTTGTTATTGGGTGCAGTTGTGAACAACAGCCATGTGAGGCACGAGTACGTCCAATCGGCATAATTATTGGTTCACTGCAGCTCAAAGGCTCCGTCCCTACGATGCGCGTGGTGAGGTTAGCAGATGTCCACGTGCGCGGCATTTGAAGACCGGGATCGGTGACCTCGCCGACAATTTGGTTGATCGGGGAGGGCAGTTTCATATCCGGACAGCGGAGCGAAGGAAGAGGGAGCTTCTGTCCAGGGAGCAATGTTGTTACAGGCGTCCCGTGATGATTCGGTTTCGTGTAAAAAAATAAATAAAATAAAAACAACGCGTGTTCAAAGGTTCGTTCCATGTCGGGTCTTTGGCGAAGACGTGGGCGCGATGGGACTTGGGCCGTCCCGTCACCGTTCCCGTCCAAACGACTCACTCCTTCATTGATTAGTTCGTTCGTGGATTGATCAATGCTTGATTGGTCGATCAGTGGCTGTTTGATAAGCTGGTTGGTTGATCAGCTTAGTTGATCACCAGGTCAGTTGATCAGTGGGGTGGTTTTATTGGTTAGCCAGTTGATTGGTTGATCAGCTGGTTAGTTGGTTGATCAATGATTTGGTCCGTTGGTTGATAATTCGTTTGGATGGTTGATCATCTGGTTGATCATCTGGTTCAAAGGTTAATAAGTTGTTTCATTGATATGGCGGCTTGGTTGTTTAATCAGCCGATTTCGTGGGCTGCTTGGAAGATTGAGAATTCAGTAAAAAAAATGTTTTGCTGATGTAGCTGCGTTGGCAGCGGTGCACAAGCACAGACAACAATAACAACTCAACACGGCCAGCGTCAGTATGAAAGGCGACGTTTCGGTCAGTCGTCCTTCTTCACATCACATAGGCAGGTGAAGCAGAGGGCCATTGCCTGAAACGCCGCCGAATACGGTATTTAATTTTATTATTATTAATTTAATAGGCCAGAGTGCTATTGACGAATGTTGAGTATTTTGTGAATGTTCAGTTATAAGTTGGCCCGCGAGAGGGCAGCAGAGGACCGGGGCTCGATCTCAACACGAGCACGTGGCTTCGTCATTCGACGGCTTCTCTTCGCGTCACTTGACGGGAAGGATAGAAACCGTTATTATGAGTAATTATCGCTCTCAATATTGCTTAAAACGACTATCGGTTTCAAACAATAACGTGACGTGCTCTATAATTCCGTACGACATATGCAGACCGACCGGTAAACCATTTAGACTTGCGTGCATATTGTTGGCATCGGAAGTTGCTGAGCGCGCAGCGTTTGTACCTCTCGTGCAAGCGGATGCACGTGTGTATGTTGGACTTCTTTCGCACCGCACGTAGCCAACCGTGCCAATTGGAGGTGTGTATAGTGGGCGTGGCGTGGAGAGAGAGGGGGGGGGGTTACACAATCGTCAGATCTCAACTTTGCCACGCTCACAATAGGGGCGATGGTCGGTTGTGCGATGACCGAAAGGATAACAACGTCGGCACATTGGCACAGTTAGGTCGACACGTTAATTTCCCCCGCGTGTGAAGGGAGTAAGCCCACAACTGCAGGGGCGTCGTTTCAAATCATGTAATTGTGACGTCATTGTGGCATTAAAATTGTGGCCGGGTGTGGTGTTGGCACAAAGGGGAGCAGAAGTGGTGCATCTGCCAGTCATCTCAGCCAGGCAACCCATGGCCCCTTGGGGTCTGTACCGTGACCCCCCCGCCAGCGAGTCTTGGACACTTCACGCGATGTCCTCAAAGCTCACCGAGCCTCGCCCCAGCGTCGTGGTGACGTCGCCGCCGCTTTGGTGGCGAATTGGCGGCTCTTCCCGTTGATTTTGGCCACGCACCCCTTCGTGTGCCGTTTGCCGGCCTTCATAGGTGCTCCGCTAACAGCACTTGCCTCCAGAGTCTGCTGAGCGCTTTATGGCGGGGACCTTTGTCTTTAGTTTTACAGTTTGTAGACACCGCACACACACACACACGCGCGCGCACACGCGTGCAGTGCGTTCCGTCTCCACGTGTCCGTGTTTCTTCGGGTGCGGCCGCACACTGTCCGCTGGTTATTCGCTGGCGGCAGGCCTCGTGTGTGGAATTTTGGAGTGCTTTGTAACGACCTCATCTTCACCGCGAGACGTCGCACAAATGGGCTCTCCTCGCCGTCCGTTATTTAGTTCGGGCTGTTTAAGAGACACATCAACAACAACAACAAATTACCATCTTTTTTTTTAAAACGGTTCACGAATAATCAGCAGTCAACAAATATTGATTGTCGAGCATATTGTATATACTTGGTATAATACGTCAACAACTTGTTCAAATTTCTCCCAAATTTCTCCCGATCTCTCCGCGATAGGGTCACGTTATGGGGTGAAGACTCCATTCGGAAATCTCGCAGAGCAGTGCCAACCATCGGTGTTGCCGTAGACCGGCCCGCGGAAGTGAATCGTGCAGAGCTACCTCTGACGTTCCTTCTTTCTCCCACGTGGGAGTAATGTTCGCCGCACGACGGTAAAACCGGTTTTGAGAATTATCTGAGCTGGTTATGCGGCCACATCGACCTGGTTAACTTGACCGTGCTGAGACCATGAAACTTGAGAACCCGGCTTAATCGCAGGCGACTTGAAATCTGCAATCGAACTCAATGATTTCAGCGATGCTGGTTCAGCGCTCTGACCCAACCCCGTAGCATCGGAGGTGGGGGGGGGGGGGAAGGGGGGGCAGCGGGGGGCTGAGCCATGCCCTGGTGAACGCTCAAACCCTCTTGGAAATGACTGCAATCGAAGCCGCATCATCACTCGTCCCGTTTCGCCTCTCACGTGAGTTTAAGCAGTGCCGGATTAAGCGAGTGGCGAGGCCTGTAGCATATGTTAAAAAGGGGCCCTAAATAAAAATAAAACATTAAAACACATTGATTAACTTGCATGGTAAAGTCATTGTACTTTTTCATTTGCTATACAGCCAGATAATACGACAAATCGCGAACCTTAAACACCCAGTCGTTCATAAAAGTTGAAGGCGGTATAGTACTATAGTAATAGAGCAAGTGCAGAATCACTGAGCCGGAATTGATAGCTTGAAAGCATTTAGCGCGGGGGCCTTGAAGGTGCGGGGCCCGTAGCATACGTAGCGACTTGTGCTACTCTGATAATCCGGCACTGAGTTTACGGGTTGCTTAACAGTGACTATTCTGTGGGGGGAGGAGAGACACGAAAGGGAGTGGGGTGGAATCGTCGCCACAACAGCAGCTGAAGCGGGAACAGCAGCAGAAGCAGGAACAGCAGCAGAAGCATAGAATGGGCAGTGGTGATGATCAGGGACTCAGCCACACTGGGGAAATTGAGGCCATCTGGGACCCTCTTGCTTGTGAGATGCTAACTACCTCGCGTGGCGTACAGGAGGTCGTGGCTTCCATCCCGACCCTGACGCCTGCTGTATATATGTCGAGTTTGCGTGTCTCTCTCTCTCTCTCTGCCTGTGGTCGCGTGGATTTTTCTCCTGGTCCTCCGGATTATCCCCCGCTCCACATTTAGAATCAGCATCGGGCGTTCAGAGTATTTGGCTGCTATACAATTTCACGTGATGATAAGCCACTTCGATAGCCAGGTCGTTTCTGAAAATCGATTTGAATATAGCTCAGTGGGGCATTTACATGGTTACAATATAAAATAAATACTTGCATCTCCCGGCCCTGGCATGGTTCGGGTTTGCGGTGGAAAAAATGGATTAGCCGTATCTGGAGAAGCATTCTTATGGGTGGGGGGGGGTGGAGGATGGGGGGGGGGCCCAGACCCCCACAAGTGGCTGCGCCCCTGGGCAGGGACCGAGGAGGAACAAGTCGAGAGGGTACTTACACATAGACAGGCTTTAACTGTAAGTGTGACACTTTCTGTGGGGAGTGGTAGGCTGTGTATGAATGGAATCCACCTATGAAGTCAACTGGGTCAGAGAGAGAGAGAGAGAGAGGAAGAAAGAAGGAAATAAATAACTAAACAAATAAAAGAAAATCGGAGAAGTATTTTAGCGTAAAAATAAAAATGCTAAGAGTGAAAATAGGTTTGTAGGGATGTAACGATTTCTGTCACTCCGTGATCCAATGGATTTTGACAATACGACAGGATGCTTATTTGTGATGATTGTTGTTATCTAGTCCGTGGCATCTATATACTGCACTGGTTATGATTCTATCTCGATAGTGGTGTCAATCTAGAGGGATGTGATAACATACAGCTTCTTGATCGCTCCACTGCTGGATGAGGACTTCCTCCATGAGGCTTCTAGAATGGGGGAGGCCTTCATTCAGCAGTGGCTTGACAAACATATTTTATAATTCATTTACGGTAAAAAAAATATATAAACTGTTATTTACGTATTCATATCAAATTGTAGTTTTTGTTTAAATCAAAAGCATGAAACGTAATCATGCAAAACTGAGTTCAATCGACAAATAGATTAATCGTTACATCCCTAGGAGCAGAATATCGTGGGAGGAAAGATGGCAGAGAGCGGGAGAGGCGGGGAGAGACCAGGGTGAGAGACCATGGGGAGAGGCAGGGAGGGAGGGAGAGATAAAAGGGAGAGATAAAAAGGGAGAAATGGAGGGAGAGACTTAGAGATGTGGAATCCCTGCAGACCAAATAACGAGAAAAACAGAGAGACATCGAAAGGGGGGAAAGGGAGTCATTGCAAGAGAGAGACAGATCGGATGACAGTCACAACACACGACCCCGATCATTCAGAGTAGGGGGGGGGGGTCTCTACGAGTCCAGAATTCCGTGCCACACTCTGTGCAAGATGGCAATCACCGAGTAATGCCAGTTTGCGCGTGCCTCGCTCAATACAATCTGTTTATTTTCCATTGGTTTTGCGACGCCACGCTCATTCAAGTCACGGCGACTTCCTGCTCGATTGAATTCGAGCCCCGCAGAGAGCGGTGGAAATTCCGCATTACCACGGCAGGGGCGAGTATGATATCATCATTGGACAACAGGCTGTTGACTTTGGCGCAATGCGCTGCTCATTTTGGACCGACGACGACGACGATGGTGATGATGGTGATGGTGATGATGGTGATGATGGTGATGATGATGGTGATGGTGGTGATGATGATGGTGATGATGGTGATGATGGTGATGGTGGTGATGATGGTGATGATGATGGTGGTGATGATGGTGGTGAAGATGATGATGGTGGTGATGATGGTGATGGTGGTGATGATGGTGATGATGGTGGTGATGATGATGGTGATGATGATGGTGATGATGATGGTGATGGTGGTGATGATGGTGGTGATGATGGTGATGTCCTGAGTCAACCACCCCAACCGGGGGTTGAACTCGCGAAAACCTCCTCGTGTTATTTACTCAGGAACCACCGTCTCCTGTTCAACAAAATGCATCGCCGCTCTTGAAACATATATTTTTTTACTGAATTCCAAAATTAAATGCTTCTGGTTGTTATTTCGGTTGCAGAGCCCTCCACTGTGACTCATTCAGCAGCACGGCTGTTGCCCCATGTCTGGGCTCGCGGACTAATTCGGGTTTGCAATTTATAATTTTTGTGCGCGATTACTTTAATGTTTATTTTGCGTGACTTAAATGAATAAAGCAAACTGGTGCACGAGTAGAAACGGCACGCAGGAATTGTAGTTTGCGCGCGTGTACGTTGGTGTACGTGTGTGTACGTGGGCGTACGTGTGTGTGCGTGTGTGTACGTGTGTGGTGGTGGGAGAGCGGTGGTGCAGTGGTTAGCGCGCTGCCCTACGAACCCAGCGCCCAAGTTCGATTCCCGCTCACGGCCACGAACACCGGTGACGATTATCTGAACCGTTACTGGGCCTCCCCTAGGTCAACTCAGCCTCAAATGAGTACCTGGAGCGGTGTGTAAACATCGCCATTGGGGGGACAAAACCGGCCGGGCGTGGTGTTGGCCACCCAGCACTTGCCCCAACAGTCTGTTAAGGCTATACAGGGGATATTTGTCTTTGTATTTGCCAGTCAACTCAATCAGTCAATCTATTGCACCTGGGTCTGCCGTGCCTTCGACACTTCACGTGATCGCCTCGAAGTGCACCTAGCCTGGCACAAGCGCCGTGGTGACGTCAGCGCCACTTCGTGGTGAACGGCGGCTATTGTTGTTGTTGTTGTGAGAAAGCAGTTGCCATGGCGACCACGTGATGGGTCGGGTTGTCATCTCTGGGGGACATCACGGCACGAGGGGAGATCGCGAGCCGGGCAATGTTTTTGTTATTGCGCAACCGACAAAAAACTTTTAGTGTCCAGTGAAGACTGAGAGATGTTCCCAGTGCAGCAGCTGCCCCCCCCAACAACCCCGTGACGTTGGGCCAACGTTGGCATATTTAGTGGGAAGAGGACGATCCAGGGAAGACCAGGACAGGTGGCAGCCGGAGTGACGGGCAGCTGCGTTGCACTGGGGGGGGTGGGGGGAGTGACGCGGGGGGTGGGGGGAGTGACGCGGGGGGTGGGGGGACTGACGCGAGGGATGGGGGAGTGACGCGGGTGGGTGGGAGGAGTGACGCGGGGTGGAGTGACGCGGGGTGGAGTGACGCATCACTTACAGCTGTCTTCTTCTTCCGTGATGACGCTCACGACGTAGCACGAGTAGACGAATCCGAAGAGCTGTGGGACAGCGACACGGGGCAGGTAGACACACACCACGAGACGGACATGAACGAGAGAGACGATGGCGACGAAGCGGGCGAGACACGCGACGAGTCGAGCGGCGAGTTGGTGAGAGTCTTTGTTTGGGGGGTGGTGCTGCTGGTGGAGGTGGTGCTGGTGGTGCTGGTGGAGGTGGTGGTGCTGGTGGTGATGGTGGTGCTGCTGGTGGTGGTGCTGGTGGTGCTGGTGGTGGTGCTGGTGGTGCTGGTGGTGCTGCTGCTGCTGGTGGTGGTGGTGCTGGTGGTGCTGGTGGTGCTGCTGGTGGTGTTGGTGGTGCTGGTGGTGGAGCTGGTGGTGCTAGTGGTGCTGGTGCTGGTAGTGGTGGTGCTGGTGGTGCTGGTGCTGCTGCTGGTGGTGCTGGTGGTGGTGGTGATGGTGGTGCTGGTGGTGCTGGTGGTGCTGGTGGTGGTGGTGCTGGTGGTGGTGCTGGTGGTGCTGGTGGTGGTACTGGTGGTGGTGGAGCTGGTGCTGGTGGTGGAGCTGACCGCCAGCAGGATGTGGACGCCGCTGTGCAGCACCTCGAGGTGGGGGTACTCGAGCAGGCAGCCCGACACGCGCAGCAGCACGTGACCGTCCGGGGCCCCCCCGCCGGGGGCCCCCCCCTCCCCGCCCCCCACCGAGGGACCCCCCAACACGGCACCGCCCCCACCCCCTCCTCCTCCTCCCACGGCGAGCGCGGGCTCCGAGTCGACCGCCTCGGCTGTGCAGCCCGGGCCGTGCTCCAGGAACCAGGAGCGGTGACGCGACGCGGTGAACGTCAAGTAGTCGCCACCCTGCGTGGGTCGCCCAGTCAGGGTGGGTTGGGGGTAGTTCGACAAAGAAAAAAGCGTTTACGTCATGTTCATCTTGACATTATGATGATGATGATCATGACCACGATTATTATTGTTGTTGTTGTTGGTGGAATTTCGTCGCTCTTCACTCGCGAAGATGGACAGAGCGCGAGAGAGAGGGGACGACTCAGAGAGAGAGAGGGGGCGACTCACAGAGAGAGAGAGGACGACTCAGAGAGAGAGAGGACGACTCAGAGAGAGAGATGACGACTCAGGGAGAGAGAGGACGACTCAGAGAGAGAGAGGACGACTCAGAGAGAGAGGGGGCGACTCACAGAGAGAGGGGGCGACTCAGAGAGAGAGGACGACTCAGAGAGAGAGAGGGCTACTCAAAGGGAGAGGACGACTCAGAAACGGAGAGGACGACTCGGATAGAGAGAGGACGACTCGGAGAGAAAGGGGACGACTCAGAGGGGCCATGATGAGGAATCACTGATGAGCGGGAAGGCAGCAGCAGCTTCCCCATCGTCATCATCAACATCGACATCAAGATCATCATCAATGGAATTCCAATTCCCAGGTCGCCCTTTACAAAAGAAAAAAACCCCTCCCCCCACACTCCCCTCCCCCCACGCTCCCCTCCCCCCACATCCCCCTCCCCCCACGCTCCCTCCCCCCACGCTCCCCTCCCCCCACGTCCCTCTCCCCCCACGCCCCCCTCCCCCCACGTCCCTCTCCCCCCACGATCCCCTCCCCCCACGCTCCCTCCCCCCATGCCCCCTCCCCCCACGTCCCTCTCCCCCCACGCTCCCCTCCCCCCACGCCCCCCTCCCCCCACGCCCCCCTCCCCCCACGCCCCCCCACCCAACGCCCCCACACGCCCCTCCCCCCAGCTCACGATCCCTTTGATCATTTCCGATTGAAGATGATCCGAGCGCTGTACGATAATTCAAACAGATTTCATTCTTCTTTGTTTTCTGTTTGCACAACCTCCGCCTGCCATTGTATTGCGGTGGGGGAGGCGGGGGCTACATTACAAGTCACAGGCGCAGCCCTGCAAATGCCTGCTCGCGCCTATGCCGACAGGATGTGGCCTACACTCCACGGTATTTGGCCTACTTTTCCACACTGGCCAGACATCTCTATCAGATATGTCATAATACTACTACTATCTCGTCTCATCTCGAGTTACATACATTTATCGTCGTAATGCAAGGAGCTTAACAACAGTATAATCTATATAAAGACCTTAATCTGTATATCTAGAAACAATCTCTAGGGGCACTTTCCGACAAGGTAGAAAGCTGAAATGTGGCACATCGGTGCCTTTGAGGACACAAACAACATGAAAAATCTGAAAATCCCCGAATTTTTTTTATTTTAAGACCCCCAAATCTCGATTTTCAGCGTAATAAATAAACAAGTGTGTGCGTGGTGTCATTCATACACCGTAAAAAATATGAGATTGCCCGTGTTTTCGTTTGACAGCGCGTCACACAGCAAATACAATTAAAGCGATAACCATTCTATCTTTTATTGTTTTTCAGATATATCGGATTCAAGCGGTTTTTAACGACAAAACACGCATTTTATGATCTCCAAATCTGAATAATTCGAAAACTATAAAGATGGGTGAGCTTCCCCTCATAGTGTATTAAATTCATGCATTGTTGTTCTTTCTAATAAAAAAATAACGACATCTTTAAATTGATCAGTTTCCTATGGGTACGTTTTTAAATGTAATAAGTTGAATCAAGTCGTCAACAATTTACGTGTTTCTTGGGGAAACATACAAATATTTGGAGTAGTTGTTCGTGTCTGATCGTAGACAAATGGAGAATTTCTATTTTTAAAACATATTAAAAGTTTAATACAGCTCTCACTACATGGCATATGTATGCGATGGCATATATACAGTACTCTGTGTCAGATTTATTTAGTGGAATGTAACTTAACATATTTTTTTACACAAATATTTTTATTTTAACACGTAGAAGGCTTTCGCGACTAATATCATCCATAATCTAGTTTTTTTTGGTTTAGATCACATACATATTACCATCAGCCGCACTAAAGCTAAGCACCTGACTGGGTATTTTGTACCATCAGACACTCCACCCCCACAACTCCCAATTGGTGATGGGGCAGTTGTGGAGAGAGTGGAGAGTTTCCCATACCTGGGCAGTGTGCTCATGACCGGCTCCGGTTTGACAGCAGAGGTCTCACTCTGAATCAGTCCGAATCAGTCGATCGGTTGCGTAACGCTGTGTGGAAGCTACCTGGTATGTCGCTCCACACAAAGCTTCAGGTCTTCTCGGCCACAGTCGTTCCCTCCCTTCTCTACGCTCGCCGGTTAGAAACGTTTAGGCTGGCCTGCCTACGATCCATCCTGGGTTTAACCAGGCTGGATTGTGTGAGGAGCTCACAAATGCTTGAAAGATCTGGACAAAGTCCCATCGGTGAGCTCCTCCGGCAGGCAAGGCTCGTTGGCTGGGTCATGTAGCCCGCATGCCCAGTCACCGCATGCCTAAATAGCTTTTGTTCGGCTGGATAGAGGGGACTAAACGGGCGTGGCACGGGCTAGAGAAGAGATGGAGTGATGTACAGGAGGACGTGGAGCTGAGTGGACTTGCCGATGACTGGTACCAGCGGTGTCAAGATCGGCCTCAGTGGAGGAGGCTCATGAAGGACGCTACTGGGCAGTTGGAGGCAGTCGCCCTCCAACAACAACGGAGGGCTGAAGAGCGACGCTCACAACAACGAGCGGAGCGCCGGGTGGCTAAAGCACAGCAAGTTGGCAAAGTAGGGGGCACAGGTGGTGCATCAGCCAGTCATCTCAGTCGTCTCAGTCAGTCGTCCCATGGCACCTGGATCTGTCCCGTGACCTGCCAGCGGGCGTTCAACACTTCACGTTACCTCAACGTGCACATAGCCTGGTACAAGCGCCGTGGTGACGTCACTGCCACTAAGTGGCGAATGGCGGCTGTTGTTGGGGCGGTAGTGTAGCGGTCAACGCGCTGCGCTACGATCCCGGCGTCTCGAGTTCGGTTCCCGCTCACGGCCACCAACACCGGTGACGATTAACTGAACCGGTCCTGGGCCTCCCCCTAGGTCGACTCAGCCTCAAATGAGTACCTGGCGCGATGTGCAAACATCGCGGCTGGGGATACAAAGGTTGGCCGGGCGTGGTGTGGGGCAACCCACGTGTGTGCCGTTCCGGCCTTCATAGACGCTAACAGCACTTGCCCGAACAGTCTGTTGAGGTTACAAGGGGGATCTTTGTCTTTGCTCCACGCGCGCGCGCACTTCTGTCTCGACGGGGGGGCGAGGGGAGCTAACGGGCGGCAGTCGTCACGTGACGAGCGGCAGTCGTCACGTGACGAGCGGCAGTCGTCACGTGACGAGCGGCAGTCGTCACGTGACGAGCGGCAGTCGTCACGTGACGAGCGGCAGTCGTCACGTGACGAGCGGCAGTCGTCACGTGACGAGCGGCAGTCGTCACGTGACGAGCGGCAGTCGTCACGTGACGAGCGGCAGTCGTCACGTGACGAGCGGCAGTCGTCACGTGACGAGCGGCAGTCGTCACGTGACGGGCGGAGCGGGGCTTGATTAGCGCGGCCCCCGCTGCGCGTGCTGCGTCTGCGGGTTTCATATTTCTTGGGGGGCGGGGGGGGCGGGGCGGGCGGGGGGGGGTGAGAGGGGGGAATTCGAACAGATATTGGGGAGGGAGATGGAGGAGTCGGTGGAGGAGTGGGTAGAGGGGAGTGGAGGGTGGAAGAGCGGGTGGAAGAGCGGGTGGAGGAGTGGAGTGGAGGAGGGGGGATGGCGGTCCGGCCATTAGTGGCGATGAGGAATATCAACAAAGCAAAGAAAAAATAACCAAAGCTTAAGGGGATCCAAGTAGCTCAAGGGGCCTCGGATTTATGACAACATCATAGGGCGTATGAAATGCCAGAAGGATGATGGTTGAAGGTGGAGGAGGAGGATGGTGGAAGGTGGAGGATGGTGGAAGGTGGAGGATGGTGGAAGATGGAGGAAAGGATGGTGGAAGGTGGAGGAGGAGGATGGTGGAAGGTGGAGGATGGTGGAAGATGGAGGAAAGGATGGTGGAAGGTGGAGGAGGAGGATGGTGGAAGGTGGAGGATTGGTGGAAGTGGAGGATGGGGAAGATGGAGGAGGGGAGGTGGAAAATTGGAGTAGGAGAAGGGGAGGAGGAGGAAGGTTGGGGAGGAGGATGGTGGAAATTGGAGGAGGGGAAGGTGGTGGATGGGAAATGGAGGAAGGTGTGAAGGTGGAGGAGGAGGATGGGAAGGTGGAGGATGGTGGAAGATGGGGAAAGGTGGAGGTGGAAGAGGATGGGAGGGGAGGATGGTGGAGGAGAGGTGGAGGATGGGATGTGGAAATGGTGGAGGAGGGTGGAAGTAAGGGGGGAGGAGGATGGTGGAAATTGGAGGAGGAGGAAGGTGGAGGATGGTGGAAGATGGAGGAGGAGGATGGTTGAAATTGGAGGAGGAGGAAGGTGGAGGAGGAAGGTGGGGGAGGAGGATGGTGGATGTGGGGCAGCTGCTGCTGGCGTGCTCGCGATGGGAGGGATCGAGGCGTGAGATGTTCGCTGCTGTCGGGATGTCCCCGACGTGGCGGGGGGGGGGTGTGGATTAGGGGGCGCGTGTGGTGCTGCATTAAACACGCGGTGGGGGGGGGGGGGGGCTCAGAGGCTCGGCAGACGCCGCGAGGAGATTCCTCGCCGAGATGCATCAAGAGCGAGACGCGCGCACACAACCAAAGACAAAATACCCCCCCTCCAATGATAGCCTCAACGGACTGTTGGGGCAAGTGCTGTTAGCGAGTAGGGGGTGGGTGGCCAAAACCTCGCCCGGCCACCAGTGCTGATGGCTACGCACCCGCACACCGCACCAGGTATTGTACTCATTTGAGGCTGAGTCGACCCAGGGGAGGCCGAGAAGCGGTTTAAAATCTTCGCCACGCACTGTTACTGGTTCGTGAGTGGGGCATTGAACGCTGTTCGTTGTGCAGTGCGACAACCACTGCTCCCCACAAGCGTGCATGTATGCATGTGTCACAACGTCTCACGCTGTGACACACGCACGCGCACACGTAACAGGGATGTGCTCCAGATTTTCAGGATAATTCCAAATATCAGGCCGAGATACGAAACGTCGAACGCTTTGGAATGAAAAAATGGGTCGCGTGGAATTAAATCGCGGGTTGTGTGCTCCGTGAAGTCGCAGTGGGCTGCTCACCTTGGTGAGGCCGCCCACCTCCAGGTAGAGGCAGATGATGAACACGTTCCAGGCCACCCACAGCACGCTCCACGCCGCGTACTGCGCACGCACAAAGACAAAGGTACCCCCCCCCATGTGGAGCTCACAAAGAGTGTCGGGGCAAGAGCTGTTAGCGAGCGCCCGTGAAGGCCGGAATGGCGGCGCATGTGGGGGCGGTGTGGCCAGAACCACGCTCAACCGCCTTTTTCTCCCCAGTGACGGTGTTTACAAACCGCACCGGGTACTCGTGTGAGGCTGAGTCGAACGAGGGGAGGGCCAGGACTGGTTTCAATATTCGCCATGCACTGGGCCCGTGAGTGAGCGAGCGAGTAAGTTGCAAGCGAGTGATCACGTGAGTGAGTGCATACAAGTCTGAGTGAACGAATGGGCGATTTACTGAGTGAACGAGTGCGTACGTGAGTGAGCAAGCAAGTGATCAGGCGAGAGAGTGAGTGAACGAGTTATCAAGTGAGTGAGTGTACGAGAGCGGGCACGTGAGTGAGTGAGCGAGCGAGCGAGCGAGTGATCAGGTGAGAGAGTGAGTGAGTGAACGAGTTATCAAGTGAGTGAGTGAACGAGATTGGGCACGTGAGTGAGTGAGCGAGCGAGCGAGTGATCAGGTGAGAGAATGAGTGAACTAGTTATCAAGGGAGTGAGTGAACGAGTTATCAAGTGAGTGAGTGAACGAGCGAGTGAGTCGCTCACCAGCACGATGTAGCGGGGCCGGCACTGCACGGTACCGAAGAGGCCTAGGATGAGGAGGAGCACGTGGAGGAAGTTGACGAGGATGGGCGCCCACTGGTAGCCCAGGAAGTCGAACACCTGGCGCTCGAGCACGGCCACCTGCGGGGAGAGGATTGGCGAGGACACTAACGTGGTCACGGAGATGATGAAACCAAAAAAAATTATATCAACTAAACTATGAGACATGTTTTTTTTATTTCACCAGGTAAGGCCCCACCAAGTTATGTTGATCTGTTCCCGTAGCGACCTGGCGATCACGAATGATAGCTCAATGAAGTGGGCTGTCGTAATCACCATCATCATCGCGTAACAGCATCCACATGCTCTAAACGAATAGAGATGCATAGAGACCCATAGAGATCCATAGCAATGCATAGAGACCAATAGCGATGCATAAAGACCTACAGACTAAAATAAAACGAAACTTTTTATTTCACCAGGTAAGGCCCCAATGAGCTATGTAGCTCTTTTTCAGAAGCGACCTGGCCACCACAAATGATAGCTCAACGAAATGGGCTTATCGCGTGGAAATGTATTGCAGCCAAACACTGTCTAAACGCATGTTGATTCTAAATGTGGAGGGAAAAGTCGGAGGACCCGCAGAAAAATCTACGCGACCACGGGGAGGGAGAGACACGCAAACTCCAAATATACGGCAGGCATCGTCAGGGTCGTGATTGAACCCACGACCTCTTGTGTACCAGGCGAGGTAGTTAACATCTCCTAGTCACCGTGATGATAATAGAGACACGCAAACTCCAAATATACGGCAGGCATCGTCAGGGTCGTGATTGAACCCACGACCTCTTGTGTACCAGGCGAGGTAGTTAACATCTCCTAGTCACCGTGATGATAATAGAGACACGCAAACTCCAAATATACGGCAGGCATCGTCAGGGTCGTGATTGAACCCACGACCTCCTGCACACCAGGCGAGGGAGTTAACATCTCCTAGCCACCCCAGGTCGCCTACAAAACAAACATTGTCCTTAATTTGTTACGCTCCCACCCACCCACAGAAATCACAATTTGAGTTCTGATCACTTCCAAGTGCATTTCCCCTCGTGTATTGAATATCCCCGCTTGTTTAAATATTCCCGTGGGTGCTGTGGTGTCAACCTGTGGACTGTATCCGTCCATGCGCTGCATGACGAACCCCAGCGACCCGAGTTTGACTCCCACTCACGATCAATAATCAGCACGATTGGCTACGTACGGTGCGAAAGAAGTTCAACATACATACACACAAAAACAGCGGCGATTATTTTGAACCGGTCATGGGCCTCCTCTAGGTCGACTCAGCCTCGACTGAGTAACCTCAGTCGAGGCTGAGTCGACCTCCACTCCTCCACCTTGTGTGCCGTGTCGGCCTTCGTAGGTGCGACTCGCTAACAGCACCTTGCCCCAACAGTCCGCTAGAGGCTACACGGGGCGCCTTTGTCTCTGTTGTGGACATGAGCGCGGTGAGTGTGATGCATGGGCGACGTCGTTCGTGGGTTAATTTGAGTAATTGTATCATTTGTGAGTTTGATTCCCTCTCGCTTTGTATCGATTCCGCCGGGTTGTTTATCACAGGGGGGCCGGTGTCATTATCCCGAAGACGCTCAACTTGTTTGAACTTTAAGCGTGCGCCCGTGCCCAAGCTAGAGACGCGTGGGGCATCCTGTTGGGAGCGGTGGCGCGGTGGTTTTAGTTAATTTCACCTTCATTTAAGCGGGTTAAAAAAGTATAAACAAACCCTTGAGGTTAGAAACCTCTATTCTGACGGGGGGAGGGCTGGCACTTTGCTGCCAGCCAGACCCAACCGAGTTCCAATCCCGCTCACAGCCAACATTGTTCGACGTTTTATAACCGAACCGTTGCCTTGGCCTCCCGTAGTTGGACTCAGCCTCACGAGGAGTTTTAAAATTAGAAGCAAAAAACCCACGACGTTTCAATCGCAACACCGACGTTTCACCCACCCCGACTGACTAGTGACTCCGCACCGCACGTGGTTTAACACGCTAACAGCCGAGCAGCAGTGTATGCCCGCAGGGCAGGGCACGGTAATTCATTTCATTTCTGCCAGGATTCGGACTAAATTGACATTATTTTTTCGCCGCCATGGAAACTTCGGTTCGCGTCTAAATATAAATATGAATGAACATGAATATAAATGTGAATGGATTTCCATTTGGGGTGGGGTGGGGGAGGCTGTAATTGGAATAGCGATGGCAGTAGATGGCGCGGCGTCTCTCGAGGTGTGATGAACGCCGCTGAGAGTTCCTCCGTGAATGTCTCCGAGTTGGAGGGAGCGACGTTGATGATTTCACCGAGACGGGAGTGACTGGGCCGATCGTAACACAAGCTCGCTCCGTCTCGCTCCGGCCTCGGACCAGCCGATTCCTTCGCTCCATCTCCGCATTGGCTGTCACCCCCGAGCGGGTTTTCTCTCCTCCGGCTGCCATTCCCTTGTTAGCCTTTCGCGACCGATGTTATGCATAATAGAGGTTATTCACAGGGTAATCAACATACATTATGGTAATGGGTATCCGTTATAATTTAGATTCAAATATTCACCCCCCGGCCTTAGCACCTGATTGGCTAACAAGGACATCACACTGATCCCTCTATTTAACACCGAGGCAGGAGGATGTCGCCACAAATCTGGCCGTCCGCTTGATGATGCTCGTTGTAATTATTGGCGAAACGTCGGACTCGGATTGCAAATGTTGCGGGTGTACTCTCCGACACAACGGTGTGCTGAAAATGTAACGAAATGGCACGTTCTGTTTACGTGACAAACCTTACTAGTTGACTGTGTCGGGTGGTGGCGGGTTTAACGACGCAGTTATATTCACACGATCTAACAAAAAAAAACCCCTCTATTATGTAGAACTTCTTTCGCACCGTACATAGACGACCGCGCTAATCGGAGGTGCTTAGGAAGGACAGCAAACTAAGCACCGCAAGCCGTGGCAAATAAATGAGTTGCGTGTGCAGCGAGCCTCACGTCCCCCCTACCCTCTACAGACACACACACACGCGCCTAATCACAAACACAAACACACACACACGCCTAATCACACACACGCCTACACACAAACACACACACACGCTTACACACACACGCACGCCTACACACAAACACACACACACGCCTACACACACACGCACGCCTACACACACACACGCACGCCTACACACACACACCTACACACACACGCACGCCTACACACACACACGCACGCCTACACACACACACGCACGCCTACACACACACGCACGCCTACACACACACACGCCTACACACACACACGCACGCCTACACACACACACACGCACGCCTACACACACACACACACGCCTACACACACACACACACGCCTGCCTACACACACACACACGCCTACACACACGCACGCCTACACACAAACACACGCACGCCTACACACACACGCACGCCTACACACACACACGCACGCCTACACACACACACCTACACACACATGCACGCCTACACACACACACACGCCTACACACACACACGCCTACACACACACACGCACGCCTACACACACACACGCCTACACACACACACACCACGCCTACACACACACGCACGCCTACACACACACACGCACGCCTACACACACACACGCACGCCTACACACACACACGCACGCCTACACACACACACACGCCTACACACACACCAACGCCTGCCTACACACACACACACGCGCCTACACACACACACGCACGCCTACACACACCACGCACGCCTACACACACACCACGCCTACACACACACGCCTACACACACACACGCCTACACACACACACGCCTACACACACGCACGCCTACACACACACGCCTACACACACATACGCCTACACACACACACGCCTACACACACGCACGCCTACACACAAACACACGCACGCCTACACACACACGCACGCCTACACACACACGCCTACACACACACACGCCTACACACACACACGCCTACACACACACACACCTACACACACGCACGCCTACACACACACACACGCCTGCCTACACACACACGCACGCCTACACACACACACGCACGCCTACACACACACACGCACGCCTACACACACACACGCACGCCTACACACACACACGCACGCCTACACACACACACGCACGCCTACACACACACACGCACGCCTACACACACACACGCACGCCTACACACACACACGCACGCCTACACACACACACGCACGCCTACACACACACACGCACGCCTACACACACACACACGCCTACACACACACGCCTACACACACACACACACACGCCTACACACACACACGCCTACACACACACACGCCTACACACACGCACGCCTACACATACACGCACGCCTACACACACGCCTACACACACGCACGCCTACACACACGCACGCCTACACACACACGCACGCCTACACACACACGCACGCCTACACACACACGCACGCCTACACACACGCACGCCTACACACACACACACACGCCTACACACACACACACACGCCTACACACGCACGCCTACACACACACGCACACACGCCTTGAAAAGCGAAAGTTGTGCAGATTAAAGGAAGAGCACTGGGCTCAAGCAATTGAGCGCCGAGGTGCTCCAGCCTGCATACTAATGTCACTGTCGCCGCCTCGCCTCCGTCTCTCGCTCCACCCTCTACTACATCATCCACCCTTAACCCTCCTCCTCCTCCTCCATCATCCACCATTCTCCACCTCCTCCTCCATCATCCACCCTTAATCCTCCTCCTCCATCATCCACCATTCTCCACCTCCTCCTCCATCATCCACCCTTAACCCTCCTCCTTCATCATCCACCATTCTCCACCCATCTCCTCCTCCTCCACCTCCTCCTCCATCATCCACCATTCTCCACCTCATCCTTCATCATCCACCATTCTCCACCCGTCTCCACATCCTCCTTCATCATCCACCCTTAACCCTCCTCCATCATCATCCACCATTCTCCCTCCTCCTCCAGCCCCCCTCCTCCGCAGTCCTCCCGTGGTGAACCCATTTCGTCTGCTTGGTGGACACAAAGGCAGGGAGGTTTAAAA